GGAGACAAAGGCGGCTGGCCGGGCGTGTTGCTGGCCATCCACCCCCTCGTGTGCCGTGCCGACCTTCACATGCGCTGCTCGCAAACAGCACTTGCCCCAACAGTCTGCTAAGGCTATACTGGGGATCTTCGTCTGTGTCTGTGGGTGTGAGTGAGTTTGTCATGTGCGTATGGCTGTACGAGTGAGTGTGTGTGTGTAAGTGTGAGAATGTGAGTGTGCACATGTTTGTGTGTGTGTGTGACTGTATGCGTGCGTGTCTGTGTGAATGTGTGCATGTGAGTATGGGTGTTTTCGAGGGTGTGTGTGCATCTGTGTGAGGGTGTGACCTTGTGTGTTTATGTACGCATTATGAAACCAGCTAACCTGGGTCTGATTCCCAGCCGTGGCTAATATCATTAGCGAGCAACATCTGAACCAGTTCTGTGTCTCGCCGAGGTTGACTCAGCCTGAAATGAGTACCTAACATGGCGTCTAAAGATCAAACACTGGGGAGAAAAAAGGCAGCCATGAATGTTGCCGAACAAAAAAAAGTTCGATGTCATTTAGGTACTCAAACTGCAACAGTACGGTTATGTGGGATGAAAGCCACCAAACGGGAAATCCAGCAAAAGCAATGGCAACACTCGTGGGAGAAAACAGAGATAGAAGGTGGACTGATGGAGTGGAGGAGGAGGCGCTAATAATTATAATAATTAAAATTTTAAAAAGCGTCATTCATGCAATTGCATCCCACAACGCTGCAACATCAATTAGCCAGTCCCTTACACAGATGGTACAAAAACAAAAAACCCACTACTTAGCAAATCATAAAAAAAAATATTATACGTAAATAAAGCGGACAAAAAAAATGCACGTAAGAAAACGATCATCCCTGCATCTCATGGGACACAGGGACGATCGGTCCTTAACCCGATCAACAATGGAGGACTGCTGCTGCTGCTGCCAGAAAAGTGTGGTTGGTCCCCAGCGACGTCAGGAGAAGTGAGAGTGATGATCTGGCTCATCTTCCCTCCAGGTTCGACGAAAACTAGAACCGTTGTATGGGAAGTTCAAAGTCGTCTGGTCTTCAGAGAGATCGTTGGTCACCCTCAGCATAGTAATGTGGAATTTCCAACACCGGCCAAAAAAAAATGAATGTGGAATTTCCAACACCGCTCAAAAAAAAGGAATTTGGAATTTCCAACACTGGCCAAAAAAAGTGGAATGTGGAATTTCCAACACTGGCCAAAAAAAGTAGAATGTGGAATTTCCAACACCGGTTAAAAAAAACGAATGTGGAATTTCCAACACGGGCCAAAAAAGGGGGGGTCAACAATTTTAAGGTCAAGCGCCACTCCAAGCTGCTTTTAGCAGACGGAGAGAAACCGTGCCAAGCAGGATTTGGGATTACATCCCAAAGGCACGCATGATCATTTAAAAGGCAGCCCGTTCACACATCTTGCACGGCAACAGATTTGCAGGAGGAAAAAAAAGAATGACAACAAATCTCATTCCTGCATTGGATGGCGGGCGGGTGGGCAGTGCTACGTCTCGTAGGCAGCGGACACATTAAAGCGTATCCGATAAGTCAAGCGTGCCCGAGATTCGAGCACGCCTTGCCGAGATCGCTCCAAAAGGTTATCTCTTAATGGGGCGCAAACAAGAATCCGCGATGGAAGCCTCAATAACCAGACGCTGCTGCCCACATTTTAAGGGGCACGCACATTCCTGTATCGTCAACCTCCCCCCTACGCGGCAACGCTTCGCAGCAAGCAACCGGGCTGGACGCCGGATGTGCTGGCTGGCTGGCTGGCGAGAAGTGAATTCGTCGCAGAGAGATTTTCCTCCCTCCGTAACAAAAGGTTTCGTTGCTGTTGGGTTAGATCGCGTGAATGTAAATGCGTCGTTAAACCCGCCACCACCCGACACGGCCAATTTAGCGAGGTTTGTCACGTAGACACAACGTGCCAATTGGACGCTCCGTCAGCACCACTGTGTGATGGATAGTGTGCCGAAGGAGTGACTAGTTGGCACGTTTTGCAAACACCCCTTTGTTAATTTATCACTGCCCCTGGTCATTGGGAATTTTTGGCCATACTTCACCACCCTGGTTAGTACTGCTTGGTCAAAGGGAGTGGTAATTGGTGGGTGGGAGGGGGCGCGTTGGGGGGGGGGGGGCGGTGGTCGGGGTGGGGGGTTGGAGGGTAGAATTACGGGCCAGGACCGATTCAGGAATCACTTACCATTCAGACTTAGCCGTGGCTGGGAATGATAGCCTGGCCGCCAGGTTCACGGTGGAGTCGTGTCCATGGCAATAGCGCTGCAACGTTGCTTTATACGGCTGGGTGGCACTGGAGCAGAGCTCTCGGTGCACTCAATGAAAACGCCACCAATTCAAATCCAACAAATCCGAGCCAAAGGGGCGACTGGACCAATCGTCAACCCACCAGCGTCGCCACAGGGAGTGCAGATTTATATGACGTCAGAAAATGGTCATCCGATGTAAAAACCGACCCCCGCCACAGGAATTTGGAATTTCCACAACTGACCCTCGTGGGGGATGAGTGATGTCACATGCTCATCTGAACAGATGAGAACTATTGAACTCAATGATTTTTTTAGATTGTTCACCATTAAGGGCTCACCAAGTCTCAAAACTTTTTTTCGGGAGACTGCTAATCAGGATTTTGGACAAAGCTGAACTGATTATTTTCGAATGTGGGATTAAAATTTAATTAAGCAAAGTTTATCATACATAATTTAAACTCCTGTTAGTTTCTCTCTCCCTTTCTCTCTCCCTCTGTGCCTTCCAAAAAAGAACAATTACCGCAATATAGTATTATCTTGTTCGGCGAGAAGAGCTGCGCGCTGGTAATTTACTCCGAGAGAGATGAGGAGGAGGAGGAGGAGCACGTGATTCAGGGAGGAGACGAGAACCAGAGACCGTTACGCTGACTGAGAAAACACAAGTGGGCAAAGTTCGTCACCACGCGGCGATGGCCAACTGATGAGGCTGGTGACGGAATGGCAGGCGAAGGTAGAAAACGCGTTCAAGAGTGACGGTCGCCCGCGGAGATGGAACGATGAGAAAAAAAACGTAACATTTATTTTCATTGTTGCCACCTTATTCGTACGGTGTCTGAAATGTTAACCCTTTCCCATTGCGACGACGTAGGTCGTCACAAAAACTGTCGGAAGACGTCCCGAGGCTCCCACGAGGCCGCGCGGGAGGGCGTGTGGCACAGTTTGGCTGCAGCTATCGTAGAGTAGTGCGGTCGTGTCGCTACGGTTCTCTGCGGTGAGTGCGACGTCTTCAAGAACAACTGCGCTACGCCTCTCAGAATAATATTAAACCGCTCGCGCGTTCCGAGATTCAGCGGTTGAATGGGACCCCCAGCCTGCAACTTGCCAGACGTCTCGCAAAGGGTTAAGTCGCTCTCACTGCATTATCCCAAACGTAAGCCGAGTGTTTAATTTCCATGCGTTGTGCAATCACAGTAAGCGCTGTCATACGTTCTCCCAAGCGGTGACATGCGGGCACATTGAGTGCAATGATCAATGTTAAAGTAGGCATGTGATTCATATTTGCACAGCCGTTAAATGAGTCTCCGAGTGTATTGTCAAGGTTGTTTTCAGCTCGTTTGTACAATTGTCGCTCATTTCGTCAGCCCAAATGTGACGTTAGGAAGGAATACTTTAGTTCCATCTAATTTGTATTTCTCACACGCGATTCGACGCGTGCAATGTGATCACGAGAATTAATACGAATCGATAAAAGCTGTGGATTGTAACATACGCCTATGTATGGATCGTCCAACATGTGTCAAATGGGTGCGTTTACACGCTAAAAGAAAACAGTTGTGATGTGGATTGAAATCTTCTGGACTATTTCCCCATCTGCTGGTTGAAGAGTAAAGCTGCATAAGCAGCCGTACACACAGACCAGTGGGTCCTTAACCTGGGGCGCATGTGCCTCCTGGTGGTGTGGGATGCCCTCTCTGGGGGTGCGAGCCATCGCCAGATTTCTTCGAAGATAAATCATCGAAACACAAATGAAACACGGGCACGTAAGTGCAACTACTTTGTGTCATCACACCCTGTGTATTTATTAACATGACAATTTGTCTTACGATTGAGAACCAAAAGGGGTGCAAGGCTGCAGTAAAGGTTCAGAACCACTGATGTAACTGGATTAAGGGCCTGATATGAATTCCACTGAAGCTTTAGAAGTGATAGGAAGCTGAAACTTGTCATAAACAGTCCAATTATGCCCCCCTATAATTTCTGAGCAATGGTTTTGGAGCATTTTATTATAATATATTTTTGCAATTAATGCATGGGGAGGTCCGTATGTGCTCAGAGTTTGCACCTGTGCTAAATACAAACGAAAAATCAGTCCGGCGACGACTGCATTTTGTTATTTTTGGCACGTATTTGGAGAGAGTGACGACGCGAAAGCCGAGAAGAAATCCGGTGACTCCTGGTGAGTTTTGTGTTCAGTGTATTGTTGTCCTTCCCCCGCGCACCTCCGATTAGCACGGTTGGCTGCGTATGGTGCGAAAGAAGTTCAACATACATACTTGTTCTCATGACACGGTGTGCCCATTCCCACGTTATATATTTTCCTTTAGATGATGACGACAATGACGATGATTTTGATGTGATGGCGCACATAACGATGATCATCAGAGCGATGCGGTGAGAGCATCCCGCAACGCCACCTCATCGCCAGCTACGTACATACACACATCGGCATCTGAAAGGCAGCAGCCACAGCCCCTTGGGGGCTTCGAGCGGCCACAAAACACCCCTCGGCCGTGCTGATTCGGTGTCCGGCAACGTGAGTGGGCGGTTCGCGTTGGCTCAGTGACGGCGTGAAACAAGTCCGACGTGCGTACGTACGCGATTGAAGAAGGGCGCCTGGGCGTTTTTTTATTTTCGTATTTTTTTTTGTTTCTCCCCCCCCACCGTGCATGTGTGCGTGTGCGCCCGCGTGCAATCGTGCTCATTGCAGAACTCACAGGGAGGCCCGGACTGCCTTTAGTGGCTTCGCCATCGCCGCCGCCGCCGTACCCGGGTGGTCCCTGAGAGAGACGCGGAGGCACAACGCCAAACACTCGACGCGTTATTAACGACGCGTTACTGACGACGCGTTATTAACGACGCGTCATTAACGTTTCGCGACGACGGCCCTCGCCTCCCGCCGACAGCGCCGCTGTCACACCTGGGGCTGCGGTGCCCGGTTCCCACCTCGCTGCACCGCCAGACAGAATTCAACGCGCGGCTGTCAGGGTGATGGATGATCCAGCACTCGCTGATTCACTCGCCGGTGATCAGCCCCCTCCTTATCTGCTTACCGTCGGTTAATGTTCCCGTGAAAAGAAAGGCCAAAGTACTCTCGAGAGAGCCCCTGCAGAAGATACCGCGTCCTCCTCTCACTCACCCACACTTTCCCCCACCGCGCGCCACCGGCCGTCCGATAAATCATGGGCTACACATTTTATTCTGCTCGTCGGGAAAGAGGTTGGAGGAACTCATAAATAAACTCATCCCATCGTTACAACTCTCGTGCCGGGGGATTGGACCCCCAGGGACACCAACGTGGCAGCATCTGAAATCGACAAGAGTCCACCGAGATCTCGATACTCACCCTCTCTCCTCTTTCTCCTTTGTCGCCCTGTGCAGAAACAAGAGGCGTGAGAGCGAAGAGCTTTCAAATGCATGAACGGCGCTCAGTACACGATTCCCACGAGCCAATGCGATGTTGTATTCGCCCAATCGTGTAAATACATCTAATAATAATAATAATAATTCCCATGTATAATGCGCATCTAACAGTCAAAGTCTCCGCGTTTTAATACGAGCAGTACAGCAGTGCTGCCCAGCTGGTTGAAATTCCACATTTCTAATAAGCTAGAGCAGGTAAAAAATTTCTCCGACCACGATTCTAACTGATCACCTTGCAATCACGGAGGTCTATACTGCTAGGCTGATTTAACATAAATAATGCCGGATAATATTGTTCCTGTAGGCCCATTGCCTGCTAAACTGAAATACATATATTTTTTTACAGAAACAATTACACGTGTCTTTTTATTTGCTAACCCATAATCCTGGGCAGCCGCATTAACGAGTTTGCATTCCTTTATTGCATTTCCTCTGCGAGAGGATAATTTGAGCATTAGCTGCTTTCACGAGTTGCTCCCCCTCGCAAGTCAACGCAATTACCACGGTCGGTAACGCGTAATGGTCACGGCGATTTTCTCCACGATGCCACGCTCGCGTCGTTCCCCCTCCCGTGGCTAAAGGAATCACGCGAGCCCCCTCGCATGCGTGCGGGACTCGCAAACAGTCGCTCCTCGTGTGAAGCGGCTCGTAAGCGTGAGAACCGACGCTATAAATAATGCTTTTTTGGTCTCTACAGCGTCATTCGTGGGTCATAGGATCCCACAGCGCTGCACGTTAATTGTGTATATGAGAACCAAGTTCCATACGGAGCCACTGCCAAGCAAATGAAAGCCCTACTTAAAAGCTTTAAACAAATTAAGAAATGGAAACCAAAACAAGACATCACGAGCAATAAAGAGGTTACCACAAGCCATGGAGCGTAATGGCCGTGACCGTGGCGGTCCCTATTCAAAGTCGTATCCTTTCCGTGGGAATGTGGAATTTCCCACCAATGGCTGGCCCAGGGCTTGCTCGAGCCACGGAGGATATGACGTTGATTTTTTTGGGAGTTTATTTCGGGCCGATGTTTTTCCGGTGCTGGTGGATGGTGGTGGCGGTCGTGGTGGTAACAGGTGGGGGAGCACAGGTGGTGCATCTGCCGGGCATCTCACTAGTGAACCCATAATACCTGGGACCGTCCCCGTGACTTCCTGTCACAGCGAACCTAGCCTGGCACAAGCCGCTGCGGTGACATCGCTGCCTGTTATTTTGGCGACCATCGTTTTCATCGGTGTTTTTACCTTGCCAGAGAGGCCCGGTTCTCCGGGGGGCCCTTGAGGTCCGGGGGGGCCAGGTTCCCCACGGAATCCCTGGGGGCCCGAATTCCCGGGAATTCCCTGGAGGAATATCGAGTGCGCAGAGAAGTCGGGGCAAGAGCGAGGGGGGGGGGGGCGTAGGGAGGTGAGGGGGAGGACAAGGAAGATCAGGACACATGCACGTTCGGAAGATGAATGAACACACGCACTGGTGGTTTGACAACAATTCAAGCAGTCGCCACTGCACCTGTCTCTGGCTGCATGGCCACCATCGAGGACAGACGAGCGGAAGAGTGGGGGCCCCAAGTCGTCCCGGTGCTCAACCTCGCCAACGTCATTCCTCCAGAGTGGGCGCAATGAGCCACAGCTGGCGTGCGAAACGTGGCGTGTCCAGAAATCTACTCCCCGATGGAGATCGACTAAGACCATCGTAATCATCATCATCACCCACATGATGATTATGCCTGGTGGGATGGGGATGGTTTAGTTTTATTTCGATGTTTCTGGGTGATTTCCACTTTTGTCGTGTTTTTGTATCGTTTGTTGTTCTAACCTTCTGACCTGCTCCGACTGGACATCTGTGAAAAAGAGCTTTACAGCTTACTGGATTCCTTCAGTATAAATAAATATGCTGATTCTGATATATGAACGATACAAATTTGAGTAGCACTTCGTGGCAGGACAACACTGTTTGTACTGCAAAGAGATTGTCCCCTGCCATGAGAATGTGGAATTCTCGGCCAACAGAGATGGGCACCGTCCCGCAACGCAGGAAGACACCTGGGTGTCTGGGCTTCAACCGCATCCGTGCGGCTTCCACAACTCGCCTTCAATCACAAACCCCTTCCGCACCGCCACCCCCACCCCCCACCGTCATGAATGGGACGCTCCGTGTCCAATGCCACATGCCTCGGCCAGCTCCAATAGATCACTTGAGAGGAGACCATTCGCATTAAGGAGTGGGATGGGACTAAACGTTTCTGCTGATGCGACGCCTGGCGATGATTTGATACGCATGCACGTGTCATCTCTGCCTTTATTCCACTTAAATTTATTCCCGTACCGATTAACTTCATGAGGGGCAAAGGATTACACAGGAGACGTTATCCTTTGCTTTGTTTCTGTGTGTGTTACACGCACAATGTGATTCCCACACATTTAAAACACACGCAGATGTATATCTGAAACCGCTCCTGGCCGTCAAATTGACCAACACACACCGACCAGTGCGGTGAAATATGGGTCAAACAATCCCCATGATCGACACGGTGTGGAGAGGCCCTTACCCAGCAGTAGATTGACACAGTGCTCTAAATTATTCTTACTTTATCACTAAATACATGCATCATGGCCAGGAATTGAAGACAGGTTGCTGGGGTTACAGCACAGTGCATTATTAGCCCAGGAGCACATCCTTTCAAATATGACTCATCGGTACCACGTCGGGTGGCCAAAGCTAACACTAAATTTCTGTAAGAATTTTATCCATAGATTTCGGATGTGTATGATAGCAAGGACACGAGCGTAGCCATTTATGAGAAAAATATCATTGAAGAAGAGTATCGTAGTACATTCGACAATATATTGTTTTATTTTTATCATATTAAACGTCCACAGAAATTTTTTTTTTTCAAAATAATAAATTTTACGAAGAGATGGAATCTGCGTGAATCGTTATACCTGCGGTGATTAGTTGGCAGCATTTGGCAGCCCAGGTGGTACCAACCGACCCCCTCGGCTCACGGTCTAACATCCCTGCAACACCTCCGCCGACCAGTCGCGGAACGAGCGGCGTGGGGGCAGTTTGGGGGGTGCCTTGCCCCCCACCCCCTCCCCCCCTGGTGGCCAAAGCTACGAGCTGGAGCCCCCCTTGACAACCAGCACGAGATGCGTTTTCAACAACAGCGCCAAAGAAACAACGACTCACTTAAAACGCGGTTTACATTTATTTTAAAATATGAAAATAATTTCATTTACGTCCCACGTTCTTATTTGAATTTAACAAGAGCAGTAAACGTTTGGCTTCCGCCAAGATTGACCCCACCTGACCGTTTGCCGCACCCCCGACAAAGTCGCTGACTTACACCACTGCTTCCAACTGTTTGTGTCCTAACACCCGCACAGGCAGACCCTTCCCTTAACCTCGCAGAGCACAGAGGCAAAGCGTGGGGGGGTTTGGCGACCACATCTAAACACCAACGCAGCGCGCGAGCAGGCGGGAAGGGAGGCGGTGTAATTGCGACCGCACGCTGCCGATTGTTCAAAAAAGCCACTTGACCCGCTCACCAACGCTGGCGTGATCCCGGCCACGACAACTCGGAATGCATCGTCCAAAATCGAGTCTTTTCGCGCGCGGCGCTGCGTAGTAACGTGAGAGGCGTGTGGGTGGTGTTGCCCACGCCGAGACCGCGTGTCGTCAGCGCACGGCCAAAACCTGCCCTGACGGTCTCCCCGTGACCTGCTCACATCTCTTCCCTTCCCTCCCTTTCGGTCGCCGGGCTCGTGGGGACCACTCTCCGATGCCCGCCTCGGCAACTGGTCCTGCCTCATCCTGCACACATGCTGCCCCCCTAGGGTGAAGCGTTCTTGTCTTGCCGGATCGAATCTACAACACCCACCTGCCATGTTTGCTTCTCAACCTACAACTTGCTTACCCACATTTCCTCCCCGCCCCCCTCTCCCCCCCTCCCCCAGCCCCACTTAACCCACCTACCCCGTCTTGCCGCGAACTTCCGAGCATCCTTCACTGGGCACGCCGTGCTTCCGACGCGACGGGAGTTTGGTGGAACGGCCGGTGCCATGAACTCACCGGAGAACCGGGCTCCCCTTTGCGGCCAATTACTCCTCCCGAGCCGTCCACCACGACCCCCTGCTCACCCTGCACAGGAGAACAAAGACAAAGGTCCCCCGCGTAGCCTTTAACAAGACTGATGGGGGCAAGTGCTGCTGACGAGAACTTAATAAGAGGCCGGCGCAGCGCCCGTAGGGGCGGTGTGCCCACCACCACCGCGCTTGGCCACCTTTGTCTCCCCTTGTCGCTTGATGTTTACGCATCACACCATGGACTCATTTGGGGCTGAGTCGACCTAGGGGAGGCCCAGGACCGGTTAAGATAATCGTCACCGGTGTTGGTGGCCGTGAGCGGGAATCGAACTCGGCTCGCCGGATTGGTAGCGCAGCGTAGTGCTAACCGCTACACACACACACATAGACACACGTACACATGCACAAGGACACACGCAGGCATACAAACATACCACATGCAAACGCACAAAAACACAAAGATCTCCCCGTGTAGCCCTCCGGATTATTGTGTCGAATGCTGTTAGCGGGCGGCAATACACTCGAACATTTAATCTCGCCAGCACAATGCAGGGCCACGTTTGTCTCCCCATTGTCGACATTCAAAACAGAATGCCGATGTGAGACTGACTCTGCGGAGGGGAGGCCCAGGGCCAGTTCCAATCCGCACCCACCACCGTTGTTGCACCATGGTTGGGGATGACCGGGTTCGTAGCGCAGTGAACAAACCAAGCAAAGCAAGCCACCGCACCGCTGCTCAAGACGACACAAGAAGCAGAATTGCGTTAACGAGGCGCGCTTGCAATTTGCTCCGCTGGGTCGGCGTTAGCCGCCTAGGGCGTGACGGTTTGTTTCGTCTCGCATTGCTGTTCGCTCCGTGCCCCCCCCCCCCCTGCCCTAGGTACCGTCCACCGATGCCCACTTTATTGAGGGCGATATTGGCACGTAAAAATTAAGATTTATTGATAGGTTTGAACGATGCACACTAATGATAGTGGATAATTAGATTGATCGTAGCAAATACCTTTTCTCCTTTCATCCCTGGCAAACCGGAGGGACTTTGGCGCCCCTAGACGAGATGAGGATAAGGAGATCAGCAAGCACAATGTTTCAATATGAAGTCATCCTTAACATCACGATCACCGCCATCGCCATTCATGACCACAATCACCCCCGCAACGATGATCACGATTGACCTCGTGACGATCATTATGATCGTGATGATCATCTTGATCATCATCATCATCACAGTCAACGTCATGATCAGCTACAATCTGTCTATTGCTGGATGAAAGCCTCCTTGAGCCATTGCCATTATTGCTATCAGCACTGTGGTCGTTGTCACTGTCGCCACGATCGTCAGCGTCCTTTAATCAATGCGATGAACAGCGTAGGAGGTCACAACGAAACATTTAATCACTTTTTTGAGTGGTCTGCAACACACAAACAAAGTCAACACACCAATTATTTCCCACACATTTGGAAATGTTAATGCACAGTATTCGTTAAGGTGAAGGTGCAGCCCTGCAATTGCTTGCCCACGTCACTGCCGGTGGAAGAGCCTCCACGAGAGGGAGCTCGAGAGGGCCCTTCTGGAATGTAATTCGGCCTACTTTTGAGCACTGGCTATATATCTTGGAAGAGCTGAGAGTACCCACACTTTATCCCACCACCACCACACGCAACCTTCCGATTGACTTAACTGCGGTGTAGCCATTTGTTACTAAACTAAACTTTTTATTTGACCAGTTAAGGCCCACTGAGCTATATATCTATTTTTAAGAAGCGAGTTGGCCACAAATGATAGCCCAATGAAGTGGCTTTTAGCATGTGGATATTTATAGCAGCCAAATACTCTATATGCATGTTTCCAAATGTGGAGGGAAAAACCGGAGGACCCACATAAAAATCCACACGTTCACGGGGAGAGAGACACGCACACTCCACATATGCAGGAGTCAGGGTTAGGATGGAACACACGGCCTCCTGCATACCAGGCGAGGTAGTTAACATCTTGCGACCGTGGCACCCTTAATATTGTAAGGGCGCTCATTTATACTACTGGGTGAACAGGAACTTCCACATAATGAAGATTTTGGGTTTAATTGCGTAGAAATAACTGTGTCGTTAACCCACCACCACTCGACACAGCCAATTAGTAAGGTTTGTGACGTGAACAAAACGTGCCAATTACTTCCTACTTCAGCACACCGGCGTGTTGGAGAGCCGACCGACGTGTCATGAAGAAACTTGCACCGTTGTTTAACTGCCGTGCCGGGAAATTGAACCTGTGAGTGGCCCCTGTGGCGTACTTGGCCCTTCCACCATGGCAGAGTCCTCTCAGCATCGGTATTCCAACAGGATCTGTTACAACTTTCCTCCTGGAACATCTCGGGTCTCGTGGTGCTGCGTCAAGACTTTGGAGAAAGCCGCAAAGCGTTGTCGTCGCTAACAATGCATTGTGGGATAGAGCAAAGCATTGTGGGTTACTTACAGGTTCTCCTGGTCTCCCTTGAGGACCAGTCGCCCCCTGTTGTGGAATAAATGGGAAGATTCATCTAAACGACCATTCCACTACTGTGTAAATTGACATTAAATAGTCAAATCGTCTCTAATATGAAGACCAGTGTGGCATGGCACCCATCTCTTTCCTGCACCTCCGATTAGCACGGTTGGCTACATACAGTGTGAAAGAAGTTCAACATACATACAGCAGTCCACATTCCTTTCGCAAACACTGTCGACTTCCCAAAAAGCGGTACTACTTTTAAAGACCACAAAAAACAACTATTACCATGGCAATGATGATGATTTGACGAGTGTGAGCTGTGCAGTGGAAAATGTACCGGGGGTCCTTGAGATCCACCTTGCCCAGGGTTGCCCGGACGCCCTGGTTGTCCTGCCAACCCATCCTGGCCTGGCAAACCCTACAGACGAAATCAACAACAACACGGATTAACAGAGAGCGCAGGCCGTACAAATGTATGGTTTTTAGGCAATATACTATCTTTGTTACGAAGGGGTTGTCTCATCATTGTCTTTATCATCATTAACATCAACATCCCTCCGCAATCAGCAAAAAAAATAGCAGCTGTTCTCCTTGCTGTGCGGAATACGCAATGAAGATGAAGTTCAAGACTCACCCCCGGCTCGAAGCCCTTTCCACAAAGACCCCAGAGCAGCCATTCCGACTGTTGGGGTAATTGCTGTGAGCGAGCACCTTTCAAGGCCGGCACGGCAAACGAGTGGGTGGGTGTGTGCGGCAAGCACTACTACGCTTGGCCGCCTTTATTTTCCTAGCGGCAATGTTTAAACATCATACCAGGAACTAATTTGAGGCCGAGTTGACCTAGGGGAGGGCCAAGGACCGGTTCAGATAATCGTCACCGGTGTTGGCCGTGAGCGGGAATCGAACTCGTGTCACCGGGTCCATTGCACTGTGCGCTAACTATTGCTCCGCTGCTCCCCGTAGGTACACATATAGAGAGTGCAACACATCACACATCGCACACACTGTCACCTGTTCTCCTTTCTGTCCCTTTAAAACGACTCCTCCATCGCCTCCGCTCCCAGGAAAACCCTGAGGACCCTGCAGTGAACAAAGCAGTCAGATCACATCATCAATTGACAAACTCGAGACATCGTAATCGTTTTACGAACCCTTTCCAAAACCAAGCTTGAATGGGTTAATGCGTTATTTCCATCTGTCCGTGCAGCTGTCTGTCTGTCTGCCTGGGGTAAAGATAATGCTCGTAATACGATGAGCCAATGTGCACGGAACTTAGTATAAATGTGTGTTCTTACTGGGGATGTAACTTGATTGAAAAATTGAAAACCGGCCAAATTTTGTCGAAGAGCTGCCCAAAAACTTGAAAGACACAGACTAACGTCATTTGCAAACAAGCAAATGCATCTTTGTCCTGACTGTTAATTGGCAGCGGACTGCACGAGGAATGGAAAAACTGCTTGGCTACAAGGTGGCCACACGGATGAAGTGCAATAAGCAGGCTGCCAATCGATATATTCTGACTGTTTAAATGCTGTCTGTCCTCTCTTATGCAATGCTTTTCTCAGGATACTCAGGAAACCCTTACCCATACAAAATTGTAACTCTGAAGGAATTGGCCAAACATCTCAATTCGGGATCTTCTTGAAACACGGTTGAGACTTGATGAGGCTTGCTTGGGGCAATTATGGCCAGTATCAATATTATTATTCGAACAGCGTATTTAGAAGGTATTGTTGTACTTTAAAATGTCTGTTCTGGATGCTTTTGGTTACAGTTTTGCATAAATTTGTGGTTTTGTACATATACCATATATTTTGCACTGTTTTCTAAAATTGTCATTCCGTACCTATCAATGAATTTCTGAAGATCTCCCTTTCCAAATTGATTACATATTCTGTTCTCATCTGGTCACACACGGAATAGACTTGAACTATCCAGCCGGTGGCCACTGTGGTTTGAGCACGAGTTCAACTCCCATTCGTGAGTCGATTCAACCCATCATCGTGAACATGAGTGTTAGCCTCTGTGGTAAATAAAAAAATGGGAACTATTTTGTGGGAAGTCAATGGGTACTTGTTCTATGGATAAACCCGGAGCCCGCTAACCTCACGTGGAATTTGTACCACTACGGTCCAGCGCCAACAATGGAGATGAGGCACCACCCAACAATGGAGATGGTGCACCACCATCTCCAGATTATACATCCTTATACAGTGTCTTATGAATGTTAATTCAGAATCAGAGAATCCGAATATGTATTTTTACTGAAGGAATATAATGAGCTATGAAGTGCTTTTTTACAGATGTAGTCAACGATATTTGGGGATTTTGTATGGTACTGTGTTATCTTACCGGATCTCCTCTGGCGCCTACTTGACCAGGCTTCCCTCTTCTGCCCTGGAATTAGAGCAAACTTCTATTCACCTATACAATGTATATGAAATAAATACAGGGAACTTCAATTCACCTATAAGTGTGTAATTAATTACAGCAGACTTCAATTCACCTATAAAATGTGTGCAATTAATTAATTACAGTGAACCTAAATTCACCTATGCAATGTGTGTTAATAATTTACAGACACGTGAGCTGAAAAGAGGTCAGGTCAATCTCCATGGCAACACGTCTCAACAGAATAAAATGGGCATTTCTAATGCTAGTTAGAAATTCAGACATTTAAAAACAAAAAAGCTGGTTCTATCCATGACCGTCAAAATAAATGGTACGTCCTCCAATAGACATTTAACACATACAGATATAACAATATTAACATCTGTCACGCAATATTTCAACTCATATGTTCATACACCGAGAAGACTACATGCCCTGCCCGGTTTGGGTTGAGCTCTTTCGGCTGGGGCTGTCTAAGCAGGATGAGGGGGTGGGTGGAATAGCCTCGGGCCTATCCTAGGCTGTACCACAGCAATGATGAAAGTTACGTTGCTTTTGCTTTGGTGGTCAACAATATCTCAAATCACGTGCGAATATCTTGCAAAACACAAGCGACAATGTTGAATTGGCGACCACAAAACGTCGTGAAATCGTCTGCAGAATGCAACAAAAGTACGCAGAATAATTGCGCCATTAAACTTGCAAACGTTGGTGGCGTCTTATCATAATCAATCACAACATTACCATTAACATGCAATTCTAATAATTCTATATGAATCTAGTGATTGCGCACAATCAGCCAATAAATCGACAGCACTCATGGTAGCAACAAAAGGCGGCGTCTTGAATTCACCATTTCTCCTTTCTCTCCCTGCCAAGGGGAGACAAGACAAGTCTAGAATCAGCGACGTTCAGTGAACTGTAATGACGACACGAGCTTCCTTTTTTCACGAAAGTATTTCAAACTCAAGGGTAGCGAATTACAATGTGTCTCATCAAGGGATGCACATCAATAATGACGTATAACTAATGCATTGTAATCACTACAAGTGGAAGAGAACTGAGTTAAAGAGAGAGAGAGAGAGAGATTGCTCGTGCTTAACAGATAAAGATTTTATCAACTTAAACATAAATATAACATTCTGGTAAAAAAAGATTACATGCTAATGACATGATAATAATACTGAACATTTGTACTCTCAGAAAAGACAGCCAATGAATTAGAGGTATGGGAAGCCACAGACAAATAGGATTTGCAGCTAGGAGCCAGAGCTTCTTTGCAGCCAGAGCATATTTTGGCCTCCTCTTCCACGCTCACCAGATGTCTTGGAAGAGGTGAAAATACCCCACCCTCGAACCCCACCACCACACGCGGCTTACCGATCAACCAACTGTAGTACACCCATTTATACCACAGCGGGATTTAAGAAACTTGCACCGTTTGAACTGCCATGCCAGAAGATCGAACCCGTGACCTCTGGATTGCAGGTTCATCGTCCTGTCTGTTGCACCACTGTGGCAGCAACCCCGATCAGAGTATAATCGCGCAAAATACAAATACTAATCATAATTGGTGGCTGAACACCAGATTCTAACAATGGTCTCAACTTTGCTAAGTGTTCTGAATTGACATTATGTGTGGCCTGAGTAACTGAGCTGCCACTCAACACATTCAAGAGTCAGACTTACCCTTGGGCATTGGGCAGGACAGCCCGATGGAGGATCTGGGTAAACCTGTGCGAACACATAAACACATTCAACGCTTCAGACATCACGTTACTTGCACAACAACAGCGGCAGAGCTAATTACTCGGCATCCAGCAATGCGTCAGTTCATCGATTAAACTAAACAAATTTTAATCTTAATTTTAGAGCTTTCGTGACTGCAGGAATTACTCTTTGGTTCTTTCGGTAAAGTCACGTATAAAGATAAAATAATAAATTAACTAATTTTATTTAATTTATTATTTTATCTTTATACGTGACTTTACCGAAAGAACCAAAGAGTAAATAAATTTTATTTTACAAGGTAAGACCCACGAATTTCGATTTAAAGCTTTCGTGACTGCAGGGATTGAAACCCCCCGCCCACCTCCTACGCATTTCCCATAAATATGCTAAATTCCTCTTGATATGCAAATTATTTTGTCAAGGCGCTCTTCTTCCCCCCTCCAACCCAGCTTAAATATACGCTCCAAGCTTGGTGGTGTTACATTCTTCACCTGAGGACGGCTGCTTGCGTTGTGGCCGAAACGTCGTGAGAATTATTTTATTATGTTATATTTTTATTATTTTATTATTTCCATTCTACGTGACTTTACCGAAAGAACCAAGAAGATGAAGACCCACTAAGTTACACAGCTCTTTTTCAGAAGCGACCTGGCTACAAATGATTGCTCAACAAAGTGGCTTATCATCACGTGGAAATGTATAGCAGCCAAATACTCTTTAGCAGCCAAATACCGTATGCTCGTGATACCTGCATCGAATCATGCTTCTTGTTACTGGTTCTATGACTATTTTTTTAATCAGAAAACCTTAAAATAAAATTGATGAAGGGAGTAAATGTATCTTATCTGTCTTTACATAAGTTGCATCTTCCACTCACCCAAGTAAGTCTATTAACCCACAACACCTGAGTACACGTGGTTTGAAGTTCAAGGTGCACCTAGCCTGGCACAAGCGCCATGGTGGCATCACTGCTAATTCGGTGGCTGCGTTTGCTGCTGCTGCTACTGTTGTCGCTACTGTTGTTAGTGGCGGTGGTGGCTGCGGTAGAGGTGGCGGCGGTGGTGGCGTTGGTGGCGGCGGTGGTGGCGATCGAGGCGGTGCACTGGTGATTTGTACCACAGTGCCTCCACCAGTGCCACCGTTCCCTCTCCCGCTGGCACAGATCGCCTCCACGAGGGCGGCCTCCACGACTGTGAGCTCGTCGTAGGAGCGCGCGGTGAAGCCCGCACGTGAGTCTGAGACGTAGGCCCGGAGTTGGGAGGCGTCCACGCGTCCCACGCCCACGGGGTACAGTGTCACACCTGGACACGCGCAGACAAAGATCCCCCAGACCACACCAAGACAACAACAACAACAATCCCAGACCACACCAAGACCACAACAACAGTCCCAGACCACACTCAGACAACAACAACAACAGTCTCAGACCACACCAAGACAACAACAACAATCCCAGACCACACCAAGACCACAACAACAGTCCCAGACCACACTCAGACAACAACAACAACAGTCTCAGACCACACCAAGACAACAACAACAATCCCAGACCACACCAAGACCACAACAACAGTTCCAGACCACACTCAGACAACAACAACAACAGTCTCAGACCACACCAAGACAACAACAACAATCCCAGACCACACCAAGACCACAACAACAGTCCCAGACCACACTCAGACAACAACAACAACAGTCTCAGACCACACCAAGACAACAACAACAATCCCAGACCACACCAAGACAACAACAACAGTCCCAGACTACACCAACACATCAACGGTCCCAGACCACACTCAGACAACAACAACAACAGTCTCAGACTACACCAAGACAACAACAACAGTCCCAGACTACACCAACACATCAACGGTCCCAGACCACACTCAGACAACAACAACAACAGTCCCAGACCACACCAAGACAACAACAACAGTCCCAGACCACACCAAGACAACAACAACAGTCCCAGACTACACCAACACATCAACGGTCCCAGACCACACTCAGACAACAACAACAACAATCCCAGACCACACCAAGACCACAACAACAGTCCCAGACCACACTCAGACAACAACAACAACAGTCTCAGACCACACCAAGACAACAACAACAATCCCAGACCACACCAAGACCACAACAACAGTCCCAGACCACACTCAGACAACAACAACAACAGTCTCAGACCACACCAAGACAACAACAACAATCCCAGACCACACCAAGACCACAACAACAGTTCCAGACCACACTCAGACAACAACAACAACAGTCTCAGACCACACCAAGACAACAACAACAATCCCAGACCACACCAAGACCACAACAACAGTCCCAGACCACACTCAGACAACAACAACAACAGTCTCAGACCACACCAAGACAACAACAACAATCCCAGACCACACCAAGACAACAACAACAGTCCCAGACTACACCAACACATCAACGGTCCCAGACCACACTCAGACAACAACAACAACAGTCTCAGACTACACCAAGACAACAACAACAGTCCCAGACTACACCAACACATCAACGGTCACAGACCACACTCAGACAACAACAACAACAGTCCCAGACCACACCAAGACAACAACAACAGTCCCAGACTACACCAACACATCAACGGTCCCAGACCACACTCAGACAACAACAACAACAATCCCAGACCACACCAAGACAACAACAACAGTCCCAGACCACACCAAGACAACAACAACAGTCCCAGACTACACCAACACATCAACGGTCCCAGACCACACTCAGACAACAACAACAACAATCCCAGACCACACCAAGACAACAACAACAGTCCCAGACCACACCAAGACAACAACAACAGTCCCAGACCACACCAAGACAACAACAACAGTCCCAGACTACACCAAGACAACGACAACAACAACAACAGACCACACCAAGACAACAACAACAATCCCAGACCACACCAAGACAACAACAACAACAATCCCAGACTACACCAAGACAACAACAACAATCCCAGACCACACCAAGACAACAACAACAATCCCAGACCACACCAAGACAACAACAACAATCCCAGACCACACCAAGACAACAACAACAGTCCCAGACCACACCAAGACAACAACAACAGTCCCAGACCACACCAAGACAACAACAACAACAACAGACCACACCAAGACAACAACAACAATCCCAGACCACACCAAGACAACAACAACAATCCCAGACTACACCAAGACAACAACAACAATCCCAGACCACACCAAGACAACAACAACAATCCCAGACCACACCAAGACAACAACAACAATCCCAGACCACACCAAGACCACAACAACAGTCCCAGACCACACTCAGACAACAACAACAACAGTCTCAGACCACACCAAGACAACAACAACAATCCCAGACCACACCAAGACAACAACAACAGTCCCAGACTACACCAACACATCAACGGTCCCAGACCACACTCAGACAACAACAACAACAGTCTCAGACTACACCAAGACAACAACAACAGTCCCAGACTACACCAACACATCAACGGTCCCAGACCACACTCAGACAACAACAACAACAACAGTCCCAGACCACACCAAGACAACAACAACAGTCCCAGACCACACCAAGACAACAACAACAGTCCCAGACTACACCAACACATCAACGGTCCCAGACCACACTCACACAACAACAACAACAATCCCAGACCACACAAAGACCACAACAACAGTCCCAGACCACACTCAGACAACAACAACAACAGTCTCAGACCACACCAAGACAACAACAACAATCCCAGACCACACCAAGACCACAACAACAGTCCCAGACCACACTCAGACAACAACAACAGTCTCAGACCACACCAAGACAACAACAACAATCCCAGACCACACCAAGACCACAACAACAGTTCCAGACCACACTCAGACAACAACAACAACAGTCTCAGACCACACCAAGACAACAACAACAATCCCAGACCACACCAAGACCACAACAACAGTCCCAGACCACACTCAGACAACAACAACAACAGTCTCAGACCACACCAAGACAACAACAACAATCCCAGACCACACCAAGACAACAACAACAGTCCCAGACTACACCAACACATCAACGGTCCCAGACCACACTCAGACAACAACAACAGTCTCAGACTACACCAAGACAACAACAACAGTCCCAGACTACACCAACACATCAACGGTCCCAGACCACACTCAGACAACAACAACAACAGTCCCAGACCACACCAAGACAACAACAACAGTCCCAGACCACACCAAGACAACAACAACAGTCCCAGACTACACCAACACATCAACGGTCCCAGACCACACTCAGACAACAACAACAGTCCCAGACCACACCAAGACAACAACAACAGTCCCAGACCACACCAAGACCACAACAACAGTCCCAGACCACACTCAGACAACAACAACAACAGTCTCAGACCACACCAAGACAACAACAACAATCCCAGACCACACCAAGACAACAACAACAGTCCCAGACTACACCAACACATCAACGGTCCCAGACCACACTCAGACAACAACAACAACAGTCTCAGACTACACCAAGACAACAACAACAGTCCCAGACTACACCAACACATCAACGGTCCCAGACCACACTCAGACAACAACAACAACAGTCCCAGACCACACCAAGACAACAACAACAGTCCCAGACCACACCAAGACAACAACAACAGTCCCAGACTACACCAACACATCAACGGTCCCAGACCACACTCAGACAACAACAACAACAATCCCAGACCACACAAAGACCACAACAACAGTCCCAGACCACACTCAGACAACAACAACAACAGTCTCAGACCACACCAAGACAACAACAACAATCCCAGACCACACCAAGACCACAACAACAGTCCCAGACCACACTCAGACAACAACAACAACAGTCTCAGACCACACCAAGACAACAACAACAATCCCAGACCACACCAAGACCACAACAACAGTTCCAGACCACACTCAGACAACAACAACAACAGTCTCAGACCACACCAAGACAACAACAACAATCCCAGACCACACCAAGACCACAACAACAGTCCCAGACCACACTCAGACAACAACAACAACAGTCTCAGACCACACCAAGACAACAACAACAATCCCAGACCACACCAAGACAACAACAACAGTCCCAGACTACACCAACACATCAACGGTCCCAGACCACACTCAGACAACAACAACAACAGTCTCAGACTACACCAAGACAACAACAACAGTCCCAGACTACACCAACACATCAACGGTCCCAGAACACACTCAGACAACAACAACAACAGTCCCAGACCACACCAAGACAACAACAACAGTCCCAGACTACACCAACACATCAACGGTCCCAGACCACACTCAGACAACAACAACAACAATCCCAGACCACACCAAGACAACAACAACAGTCCCAGACCACACCAAGACAACAACAACAGTCCCAGACTACACCAACACATCAACGGTCCCAGACCACACTCAGACAACAACAACAACAATCCCAGACCACACCAAGACAACAACAACAGTCCCAGACCACACCAAGACAACAACAACAGTCCCAGACCACACCAAGACAACAACAACAGTCCCAGACTACACCAAGACAACGACAACAACAACAACAGACCACACCAAGACAACAACAACAATCCCAGACCACACCAAGACAACAACAACAACAATCCCAGACTACACCAAGACAACAACAACAATCCCAGACCACACCAAGACAACAACAACAATCCCAGACCACACCAAGACAACAACAACAGTCCCAGACCACACCAAGACAACAACAACAGTCCCAGACTACACCAAGACAACAACAACAATCCCAGACCACACCAAGACAACAACAACAACAACAGACCACACCAAGACAACAACAACAATCCCAGACCACACCAAGACAACAACAACAATCCCAGACTACACCAAGACAACAACAACAATCCCAGACCACACCAAGACAACAACAACAGTCCCAGACTACACCAAGACAACAACAACAATCCCAGACCACACCAAGACAACAACAACAACAACAACAACAGACCACACCAAGACAACAACAACAATCCCAGACCACACCAAGACAACAACAACAACAATCCCAGACCACACCAAGACAACAACAACAACAACAGACCACACCAAGACAACAACAACAATCCCAGACCACACCAAGACAACAACAACAATCCCAGACTACACCAAGACAACAACAACAGTCCCAGACCACACCAACAAATCAACGGACCCAGACCACACTCAGACAACAACAACAACAGTCTCAGACCACACCAAGACAACAACAACAACAACAGACCCGGGTGAGACCTAAGGGCTCACCGGCTGACGCCGCATTCCTGACGGGACCCGAGGGGTCGTCCTGCGACGGCGTGCCCATCACGAGAACGAGGATGCGTGGAACGAAGGAACGCATGCCGGCCAGCGGAGAAAACATGTTCCGTATGGCGAAGTCGATCGCCCGGCCTGCGTGGAGAACGGGAGAAGGTTAAAATGAACAAACTCTCTTTTTCAGAAGCGACCTGGCTGTCATAAATAGTGGATTATCATCACATGGAAATGTATAGCAGCCAAATACTCTAAACGCATGTTGTTTCTAAGTGTGGAGGGAAAAATCGGAGGATCAGGAGAAAAATAAAAAAAATCAACGTGACCACAGGGAGAGCAAGCAACCTCCAAATATACAAGTGCCGGGTTCGGGATCGAACCCACGACCTCCTGTATACCAGGCAAGGTAGTTAACATCTCGCCAATCTGGCGCCCTTAAACCGGACAGGTAGATGGCGGGCAAAGGTATGCATCTCGGACAGTGTTAGCTTAACAATCACTGACGATAATAATTAGAGCAATGATGATGATAATTAATCAGTTAACACGTAGGCTTTCATGACCGATATTATCCATCAGAGGTTTTGTTGTTTTTTTGGTTCTGGGTTTACTCTCCAACACACGGGTGCTGAACTAGTAACTGATTGGCACTTTTTGTCTACAATTGGCTGTGTCAGTGGCGGGTTTAACGACACATTTATATCTACGCAAAATCACCCAGAAAACCTTTGTTATGGGTGACTTTTGATGATGGCGACGTTGCTGGATATGTTGATGATGGGAATGCTGCTGCTGATGATGATGATGACATAACGATGGCGGTGATCACGACACTGCTGCTGATAATGCAGCCGCTGATGATGATGATAATGACATTTTTACTATGGCTGATGATTATATCACTGCTGATGATGAACATATGACCGCAATGACAACGCCGCTGTTGCTTTTGCCACTGACCAAAATCTCTGATGAGACTGCTGCTGATGACGATTTTGACGATACCGCCGCTGCTGCTGATGATGATGATGCCGATAATTACACCGATGAAGACGGAGCTGACGACGATGACACTTTTAATTGTAATTGAAATTTACAAACAAGTAAACCCGTAAAAACAAAGTTTTTCACTCTAAATCCTTTATATGCGTGGCGGCTAGAGTTTTTTCGTCCTCTGGCTTGAGATGGCTGCAATCTATGGGTCAGATGATTGTCTGCCAGTATTAAGCAATTGGTAATTAAATATTTAATTAGTTTTCCCTAAACAGTGTAAAATTTTGGAAAAAAAAATTGACGAAAATTAATTGTCACGCACAACGAGTCTGTGTGGAAAATGTCAGCTCGATTGGATCACGGGAAGTGGGTTAAAAAACGACCGAAAGATTTGCACGGTCCTAAGCAAGCAAGCAAGCACCCGAACTTAATATAAAGGATTTTAAAAGCCCTTAATCGTTCCCAGGGCGATGACTCTGCCGATGACTTTGCCACCACCGCCTACTGCCGACGATTACGACACAATAAACGCGACGCCACCGCCACCGTTGGGCGAGCGGGCGGCACTCACCAGCAGCGCACGCCGGGCCCGCCGGCGTGAAGCAGCGCGCGGATCGCCTGGTCCAGCAGGCCCCGGTCGCGGTACTCGTTGAGGTTGAACTCCACGGTCACGTCGTCGCTGAACTGCGCCACGGCAACCTGCAAGCGCAACGACGCACGGGGGGCGCGTTTGTGGGATGCTGCCGCTGCGCCTCATCATCTTCAAGGGATTCGTATAGCGCCTTGACCACGGAATTAACATTGGTACACATGAATGTACTGGCGGAGATGAGGTGGATGAAATAGATGAGGGGAAGCAATGGGGGGCAAATCTGCGACGGTGCTTGACATCGGTGAAAGAGAAATTGATGACGTTAAATGGTGATGAATGGATCGAACGAATGGGAAGTGAGCGAAAGTGATCCAATCAGAATATGAGGAGGGAAAAGTAACGGTGGCGGTGATGAGGGGTAGATTAAGGGGGGTTGTGGGGTGAGCTAGGGAAGAATGAGTAAGTTTTGAGTGCGGAGTGAAACTAGTGAGTGAAGGTGACTGCTCCTGCTGCTGCTGTGGTGGTGGCGTTACAGTTGGCAGCACGCAGAGGTACGAACAATAAAAAATAATCTGATTTAAAAAAAACATTGATTAAACATATCTCGATATTGGGCTTCGTCGAGCGGGGGGGAGGGGGGGTGGAGGGTCGAGGTGGATGGGAGAACGGAGCCCACTATGCCCAGACGTTTGACGAGACTCAAGAACAATGAAGGTAATATCTGAGTTCCCCTGAGCGCTGGGCACTGGAGCAGTTGAACTTTTCTTTCGCGCCGTACGTAGCCCGACCGCGCTAAATCGGAGGTGTGGGGGGGACAACAAACTAAACACACAACAAAGCACAGACACGCGCTCGCCACGACGACGACCCCATCGACCCCCGCTTTCGTCCGTGCAAGAATGTGCGGCGGCAAGGCGGGCATTCAGGAGGGAGGAGAACCTGCGTGCCGTTGGGGCCGATCCTCGGGAAGAGCGACACCATCCGGGCGAGGAACTCCCTGACGCGCTCAAAGTTGCCGACGCCGACCGCGGCCGACCCGTCGACGAGGAAGACGATGTCGGCCTGCAGGCCGAGGCACGCTGCTCGCACGATGGGGGGGACAGCCACACGGCCTCGTCTCCGTTAGCACGCCCGTAGCTTGCGCGCGAGCGCTTCCACCACCGCCGTCCGGTTCACAATGTTAATGGCGAGGTACATCGATACTGTGTCACGGCTGGACCCAGAGAGTGGCCAACGTAGCGCAGAGAAGAAGACAAACTGGTGATGCAGGCAGTGATGAGAAGGAAACTGGCACCTATTTGGACACACGTGTAGGATGGAGAACAACGGGAAAATTAAAAGTGTGCGGTTGGGAAAAATGGAAGGAATGGGAAAGTGAGGGAGACCTCACAGAGAATGGCTTGACGACGACGTAAGAGATTGTTGGCAGAAAGATGTGGCACTCACTTGAGCATATTGGCACAAGACAGAGGAAAGTGGAAAGAAATGTCGAAATTTGCAGTGGACACCTACAGAGCTACCTGCTCATGGATCGTGATGATGATGGGAGTACATTAGTTTAATCCAGTGCGTAGCGTGCACAACATTTTACTTAGAAAGGATATTTCAATCGATCGATGATTGACCGACCGACCGATGTGTGAAGGCCTCCCCACGGTGGGTTTGTTCGGTCAGGTGCCGGTTGGTGAGAGCGAGTGAGAGAACTTCGGTTGATGCCCGGTTGCTCGTGGAGTCCACCAACCCATCGCGCTACCGATCCACCCCACTACCCACCCCCCCCATGGATTGTCGTCGCAATGAGGCCAATTGCAAGTGTAGGTGATAAGAGTTAATCAAAAGTGACGTCTTTAAGTAGGATCCCACTAATGGCCAATTCAGCAGGCCGCATATCCACACGAGCCGATGAACCATCGCGTCGTCCGTCACGCACGCATGAAGAGTGTTTGTCACGTGCCAATAGGACTGAAGTGTTTATTGCTCAGGGGAGGTCAAGCCAGAAACTCGGCTGAGCGGTCTCTCTGACATTGCGCTCGTGAGCCTTCCAATTCACACGGTCACGCAAACTAAACACACAAGATACAGGGTGAGCCAAAGCTCAGAACACATAAGGATGTTATATTTACTTCAACAAATCGCACAGGGTGACCCCCACAGGAAGAACAATAGTTAATTAATAATGGTAACAGATAAAACATTACCTTCAAGAATAAACAATTGAAATGTTTTATTTTATGCCAGCGTTAAAATAAATCCAGCGACCCCCTCCTTGAGCCGACTTTTGGGCCACCCTCTGCGAATAACAGCAACGCATTTCCATTCGGTTAATGCCGAAGCCAAGCGGCGAGCCACTTGAGCGTAGAACACGGGCACAATGTCATGCCGAGCGCGTGCCGTACAAGTCGCATGCCTTGTACCCCTCGACGTGCGGCTGCATGCGGGCAACTCGCATAGCGGACGATGTCTGTCGTGCGGCGTTTAATTCGTGAGCGCCGCGGCGACACCGCCTCGACTCGTCGTGGCAACCGGGGCTGTCGTCACGCGAGGCATCGACACCGCGGCTGGTGAGAAGTTGGGTTCGTGGGATCTTTCTAAATGTTGACGGCGAACGGAAGTTTTTTTTTCCAGACGCCGGGGGGAGGAGAAGGAAACGGGCAGCCAATGCAGTACACGGATCGTGTCTCCCCCAAATAGATTGTAGCGCCGCGGGAGTCGGTGGTGCGCACGTCACCCCCAGTCGGTGTTGCCCACGTGGTCCCCAGTCGGTGTTGCCCACGTGATCCTGAGTCGGTGTTGCCCACGTGATCCCCAGTCGGTGTTGCCCACGTGATCCTGAGTCGGTGTTGCCCACGTGGTCCTGAGTCGGTGTTGCCCACGTGATCCCCAGTCGGTGTTGCCCACGTGATCCTGAGTCGGTGTTGCCCACGTGATCCTGAGTCGGTGTTGCCCACGTGATCCCCAGTCGGTGTTGCCCACGTGATCCCCAGTCGGTGTTGCCCACGTGATCCCCAGTCGGTGTTGCCCACGTGATCCCCAGTCGGTGTTGCCCACGTGATCCCCAGTCGGTGTTGCCCACGTGATCCCCAGTCGGTGTTGCCCACGTGATCCTGAGTCGGTGTTGCCCACGTGATCCTGAGTCGGTGTTGCCCACGTGATCCCCAGTCGGTGTTGCCCACGTGATCCCCAGTCGGTGTTGCCTACGTGATCCTGAGTCGGTGTTGCCTACGTGATCTCCAGTCGGTGTTGCCCACGTGATCCCCAGTCGGTGTTGCCCACGTGGTCCCCAGTCGGTGTTGCCTACGTGATCCTGAATCGGTGTTGCCTACGTGATCTCCAGTCGGTGTTGCCCACGTGATTCCCAGTCGGTGTTGCCCTCGTGATCTCCAGTCTGTGTTGCCCACGTGATCCCCAGTCGGTGTTGCCCACGTGATCCCCAGTCGGTGTTGCCCACGTGATCCCCAGTCGGTGTTGCCTACGTGATCCCCAGTCGGTGTTGCCCACGTGATCCCCAGTCGGTGTTGCCCACGTGATCCTGAGTCGGTGTTGCCCACGTGATCCCCAGTCGGTGTTGCCCACGTGGTCCCCAGTCGGTGTTGCCTACGTGATCCCCAGTCGGTGTTGCCCACGTGATCCTGAGTCGGTGTTGCCCACGTGATCCCCAGTCGGTGTTGCCCACGTGATCCTGAGTCGGTGTTGCCCACGTGATCCCCAGTCGGTGTTGCCCACGTGATCCTGAGTCGGTGTTGCCCACGTGATCCCCAGTCGGTGTTGCTCACGTGATCCCCAGTTGGTGTTGCCCACGTGATCCCCAGTTGGTGTTGCCCACGTGATCCCCAGTCGGTGTTGCCCACGTGATCCTGAGTCGGTGTTGCCCACGTGATCCCCAGTCGGTGTTGCTCACGTGATCCCCAGTTGGTGTTGCCCACGTGATCCCCAGTCGGTGTTGCCCACGTGATCCCCAGTCGGTGTTGCCCACGTGATCCCCAGTCGGTGTTGCCCACGTGATCCTGAGTCGGTGTTGCCCACGTGATCCCCAGTCGGTGTTGCCCACGTGATCCCCAGTCGGTGTTGCCCACGTGATCCCCAGTCGGTGTTGCCCACGTGATCCCCAGTCGGTGTTGCCCACGTGATCCCCAGTCGGTGTTGCCCACGTGATCCTGAGTCGGTGTTGCCCACGTGATCCCCAGTCGGTGTTGCCCACGTGATCCTGAGTCGGTGTTGCCCACGTGATCCCCAGTCGGTGTTGCCCACGTGATCCCCAGTCGGTGTTGCCCACGTGGTCCCCAGTCGGTGTTGCCCACGTGATCCCCAGTTGGTGTTGCCCACGTGATCCCCAGTTGGTGTTGCCCACGTGATCCCCAGTCGGTGTTGCCCACGTGATCCCCAGTCGGTGTTGCCCACGTGGTCCCCAGTTGGTGTTGCCCACGTGATCCCCAGTCGGTGTTGCCCACGTGATCCCCAGTCGGTGTTGCCCACGTGGTCCCCAGTCGGTGTTGCCCACGTGATCCTGAGTCGGTGTTGCCCACGTGATCCCCAGTCGGTGTTGCCCACGTGATCCTGAGTCGGTGTTGCCCACATTAGAATGTAACAGCACTCATTGTTCTTGCAGCAGGCAGACATGCGCGCGGTTGTTGGCGTGCTTGGGGGTTAATTTTTTTTTTAAGGTTGGTCTCTTTCCTTTGAGACAAAACTTACCCTCCCAAAAACCTGAATCGTCGTCTTCAAATATAGGGGGCCCAACGACGACCTGTAAACCTTCTGAATGTTTAGTCACAGGAGCAGCAGGGGGGTGGGGGGGGGGAGGAACGGGTCGTGGGATTAAGGTGTGAGCGCGAAGGTTGGTGCTTGCGACGGAAGGATAATGTGTTCATCTCTATGTCCCAGGGTAATTTAAACATTTTTGTTTAAACAAAATATTGGCCCTATTGCACAATCGATGTCTGTCGCGTCAAGGGAAGCAAAATCCGTTCTGATTTCTCACACGGCGGTGCAGCCACCCACGTGAGATAACGGCCCACGGAAAGCGGATATTACAGAGCTACCTCGGAGATCCCTTCCAGCACCTCCCTGCCCACGACTGAGAAAAATACCCTTCATATGACAGACAAACTGATGTTTAATTCCCAAAGCTGTATTTTACCCGAATTATAAGCGCAGAACCAAATTTAATGTTGTGATTTTTTTCGTACTCATTACGTGATGAGGCTGAGATCATTCGATTCACAACATCTCAAGAAACTGATTTCAATCACAGCTGGCTACCTGAACTCGAACTCAGGATCCCATCAGCGCCAGCTGTGTGCTCTGACCACCGAGCCATCCGGCCAGCTCCTGATGGCTTCAACTTAGCAGAGACGATTCAATAACGTCGCTTGTAAAGCGTACATATCTGAGAGCACGATGTGTGCTCAAGTTGACTTGTGTCTAAGCTTAAGCTTAGATAATTTAGATTATTTGGCCGCTATAAATCTCCACATGATACGCTACTTTGTTGAGCTATCATTCGTGGCCAGGTCGTTTCTGAAAAAAAGCTAATAGCTTAGTGGGCTATACCTGGTAAAATAACAAGTAAACCCGTAAAAACAAAGTTTTTCACTATTAATTCTTTATATGCGTGGCGGCTAGAGTCCTCTCGTCCTCTGGCTTGAGATGGCTGCCACCTATGGGTCAGATGATTGTCTGCCACCATTAAGCAATTGGTAATTAAATATTTAATTTGTTTTCCCTAAACAGTGTAAAATTTAGGAATATTTTTTTCACGAAAATTAATTGTCACACACAACGAGTCTGTGTGGAAAATGTCAGCTCGATTGGGTCACGGGAAGTGGGTTAAAAAACGAGCGAAAGATTTGCACGGTCCTAAGCAAGCAAGCGAACTTAATATAAAGGATTTAAAAATATATTCGCCTGTGAAGGACGCGGGGATCGATCCCGCGACCTTTGGCATGGGAAGCGAGGGCGCTACCAACTGCGCTACTCCGCCACGGCCTGTGGAGGGGTTACGCTCTGGGCTCTTACACTCTGACGTTCAGCCAAAGCCATGAATGAGTTCTATTTGAATATATGTAAGATCATTTTTTTTTGCCTAAAAAGTGTACAATTTTGGGATTTTTTCACGAACAATAATTGTCTGGCACAACGAGTCTGTGTGAAAAATGTCAGCTCGATTGGATCACGGGAAGTGGGTTAAAAAACGACCGAAAGATTTGCACGGTCCTAAGCAAGCAAGCAAGCACGCACGCAAGCAAGCAAGCAAGCGAACTTAATATAAAGGATTTAAAAATTGCTTATTTAAAAAAAAATGCGTGATTTGTTTACCTTTCATATACTTTGCACTCCTTTCGTGCGTTTTGTAATGTTTGTTATTGTAACTTTCTGACCCACCCCTACTGGACATCTGTGAAAAAGAACTTCAGAGCTCATCGGATTCCTCCTGCAGTATAAATAAAGATTCAGATTCTGAAGTCGGTGCCTGTATACGATAACAGTTCACTCACCGGCTGCCCTGATAATACAGAGGGAGGAGACAATTGTGCACCCCTCACAGCCACGTGGACTACATTGCAGACCGTCTTCGTTTAGACTTGACGAAGATCCCACACATTATTTGGTGATGTCGCCGCAATGGCCGCGGTGCACAGGCCCGCGTAACCAACAACTCCACACGTCCGTCTATAACGCCGTGTCACCTTCGGAGTAGAAGTATATAATCGGAAACATTTCAGGCAATTGCCCTTTTTTTAAGGGGCCATTTCACAAAAATATCGTCCCATGATACATTTTTTTTGTAGGCCACAGTCTTTTCCGTGAATGTTGATTTATGTTTGTCGATTTTTTTCCCCCTTTTTTGTCCCCACAGATCGTCGTCGACCGGGCTTAACGCTACGCCAGGGAGAGAAACAACGCTCGGCTCGGTTCACGCTGGACGTGCCGCGGGGGTCACCTGTGCGCTGGGTGAGCGTGGAGGAGGGACCATGCCTGGTGGAGAACATGGGCAGGATGGTGAACGTGTAGACGCGGCCGCCCAGAAGGCCCGTCACCTTGTGCATGGTCACGCTGGGCTCAAGAGACGCGCGGAACTGCTCGCCGGCATCTGAAGGAGCAAGACGAGGGATCCGTGGCTTTTACGCGGCGCTGGGCATTTCGAAGCGTCTTCTCGCCCGATGTTAACGAACTCACGCCTGCTGTATACAGGTTGCTTAAAAAAATGTTAACACGTATATGGGACTATCGTTTTTAATGGAAAAAGAACGGAAAATACACTGTAACACGATAACAAATGTGATGTTAATAGCTTCAAAAAGTCAAAGAGTCTCCACTTGTTCGCCATCATTGTCAACGAGTGCCCTGGAATCTGCTCCAGGTGGTCTCCAGAGCCTGGGGGCACATTTCTTGCGGCGATGTTGCAAATTTTCAGAAGTGTTAACCATTTTTTTGAAGCCCTCTGTATTTGGAGTTTGTTGTCTCCTCCTGATCATATGTTGGCGTCCCCCATGGAGGGCTGCCCCCCATATCATCTGGTGGTGTCCACAGGGAAGTCTCGCTCGCTCACTCGCTCGTGCCACTGACACAGTCCGTACCTGAAGCCCAGGTGAGGAGGTACTGAGATGCTCGCGGCTGAGGTTCCCACGTGAGCGTCAGAACTCCGTCCGACGTATCGGACACCCGAAACCCTTGCACCCCCAGGAACTCCGCATCTGGTCAGGAGTAGGCCCACGCACACACATGTACACACGCACACACATGTACACACGTACACACATTCATCATCGTCATCATCATTGTCTAACAGCTACGGTCAATACACTGCTGGATGAAGGCATCTCCAAGCTATCACCATCTATAATGGCCTTGCTATGCAACAATTATGCCTAGCACCTGTGCATGAGCTGATTTCACCACTCCATCTCCGCAACAGATGGCCCCGCTCCGTCGTTAGCTTCCGCCACCCGACATCGTTACTTCCACGGCCGATGTGTCCTGCCCAAGACCGCTTACTTATTTTCTCATTTAAAACGATCTCTCAAATCGGAGTGTGTACCTCGATGTGTCTCCGTGGGTCTCTTTGCATCTATGGCTCTACGTATCTCTGCGTAGCATTACGTGTCTCTAAGTATTATCTTGCACATTTAACTGATATCCAGCTCCCTTGAGACCTAAACCTGACAAGACAAAATACACCCGAACTCGACTTCGGGAGCTATTCCCTTGCGCAACCGATTCCTCCGGTGCGGACGCAGTTCAACTCTGGGCACGGGGGGCACGCGCTCGTTCGTGCGCGTGCACGTGCGTCTGTCCGTGCGCGCGTGCGTAAGCGTACCGCCACCAGCCTCCCCGCCGCCCCCACGCGTCCTTGCAATCAGCGTCGCTGCCGCCCCCTCCCTGGCTCCGGCGAGTGCCACCAGGGACAGCGAGTAGGTCGTGCCCTGCTGCAGGCCGTCGACCACGAACGTCGTCGCGTCCGGGCGCAGCATGCGGCTCGACTCGGGGCCCCCTGTGCGGACGGACCGAGGGAGAGACGCGGAGAGAGGAGACGACGATTTAAAGCTTTCCTGACTGCAGGGATTCATCTCCTTGGTTCTTTCGGTAAAGTCACGTAGAAGGGAAATAATAAAATAATAAAAATAAAACATAATAAAATAATTCTCACGACGTTTCGGCCACAACGCAAGCAGCCGTCCTCAGGTGAAGAACATATCTGTCGAACGCTGTCTTTCCGACAGACCTGTTCTTCACATGAGGACGGCTGCTTGCGTTGTGGCCGAAACGTGGTGAGAATTATTTTATTATGTTTTATTTGTATTATTTTATTATTTCCCTTCTACGTGACTTTACCGAAAGAACCTAGAAGAAGAGGAGAAACTCAGCGGTGTCCAAGACCGCCGAACGGCAGCCCTCTAGTCCGTCCCCTCCCCACCCTTTGTGGGGGGCGTGGGAGCGAGGGGAGAGGCGGCTGTTGAGCGTGTAAGCCGCCCACGGGCCCCGGGTAGCGTGATGGTCTCACGGCACGATGTACAGTACATGCACCTTGTGGCCGAGTTGCTGCTGGATGAGGGTGCTCACTCACGCCACGCAGGTTGGTGCGGATCGTTGGACGAATGTTTGGCAGCATGGATGTGTGAGCCATAGAAGTGCAGTACAACGGCTTATTTTGCTGCACTGAACTCATCAATGCCCCGGTGTATAACCCATAACACCCGTCATGCATGGTAGTCCGAGCAGTATCCAGGCACAGCCTTGCTTAACTTCCGAAAAATATGGTGAGATCGCGTGCGTGAATTCCCGGTGAGTTGGTCAGGGGCAATGCACTGTCACACCGCCGGTGTTTAAGACTCAATCTGACAACATACACCACTGGATTTCCTGGGGCCTGCAGAGACTTTAATTTGATCAAAGTCACGCAAAAAGACCTTTCAAAGAAACCTCTCAACGAAAACGACTTTGATCTCCCGCTCAAGAAACACAGGCGCAGAGGTGGTGAGATGTTAACTACCTCGCCTGGTGAACAGGAGGTCGTGGGTTCGATCCCGACCCTGACGCCTGCTGTATATTTGGAGTTTGTGTGTCTCTCTCCCCGTGGACGCGTGGATTTTTTTTCCAGGTCCTCCGGTTTTTCCCTCCACATTTAGAAACGACACGCAGTTAGAGTATTTGGCTGCTATAAATTTCCAAGCGATGATACGTCTCTCGTTGAGCTATCATTTGTGAAAGCCAGGTCGCTTCTGAAAAAGCGCTAGACAGCTCAATGGGCCTCACCTGGTAAAATGAAAAATTGTTTTAGTTTAATCCCCACCCCTCCCCCCCCCAAGCGCTCCCCCCTCTCACGTTCAGACTGCGCCGAGGAAACGAGACGTCGGGAAAACAGCTGACGCACGACGAGCGAACGTGTGGTTATCAGACGTCTCGAAATACAAGTGCGGGCCTGACCGTGTTCGTCGTGCCAAGTTTCAGCTTTTTTGTTTTGTTTCCGTGACACACCTTGACCGCCTTCTCCGGACAAATGTGACCTTCACGCGTAGCCGATGATCCGAGCAACGACTCACATCGCCTCGTCTTGTTGACATATTAGAACAACTGTTGGGCTATGTCCGTTTAATGTTTCTTTAACATAACTGGAATTTCCCATGATCAGTCGACTGACAATTATTAATCTACCCGAGCCGACTCAAGGTACGAGTGAGTTTATTGTTGAATGCCGCTCGCTTTACGCTTGCGCAAGTTTCCATTTACCACGAGACGCCGTTACTTTTGCTACGATGATCCGCTCGCTTCATTGCTGTGATCTACTGTATGTTTTGTTCCAGGCACACCTCCCTATAGCGCGCAGGATGCGTTCCTGGTAAACGGAGCGCTATATACACGAAACGGCAGCTATAGAAGACCATTATTACATGGGCAGAGACATGCCCCTGCAGACAAAGGTTTTTCCCACTTTCTTCCGTATATGGGCTGGAAGTTACCTTCAGGGTAAAGAGCGTTATGAGAAAACAGCGTTATAGGTGGGCGGGCATTCCTGCACTTTTCATTTCAGCGACCAAGGGCCGCTATTGGAAAATGAGTTCTCACCCCGGTGTCAACAATGAGACAAAAGCTTTGACTTTAATTTTTGACGGTGCAGTCGCTCCTTTGGGTAACCAGCCACTGTGCACGCTTTACCGTCTGTAATTCTCCAGCTGAGCCTGTAGCCAGAAGCCTGGGCCAGTCTGGTCCAGCTCACTCGCAAATACTGGCTCCCGCTGTCCACAATCCGTAGGTTCCGAACTGAACCAACGTCTGATCCTTGCGACGGCACATCCAGGCGGTCACCTGTACCTGGGTTGAGTCATCGTTGCCGTCATCATCATCATGGCCATTGGCAGCAGCAATCAGTGATCGCAACAGAGAGCAGGCGTGGCAACGACAGCAGCGATAACAGCAGCACCGTCAGAATAATTCGTATCAATGATCATCACCCTTTGTAATAATCATCATAAACATCATCAGAAGCAATGGCATCATCAAATGTTTCGATATCATCATCACGACCGATCAATCATCAATCAAACGGTAACGTAAATATCACGGCATTAAGAGCCCGGGCCGAGTAATTATATATTCTTAGGTTTTTTCGGTAAAGTCACGTAGGTAAAAAAAATTAAATTAATAAACGTAAAATAAAAAAAAATCACGACGTTTCGGAGGCAACACAAGCTATCGTCTTCAGGTGGAACCGTCACAGCACGAATGCTGTATCAAGTAAGAGAAATTCCAAGAAAATTAATTTATTAATTTTAATATTTTTACCTACGTGACTTTACCGAAAAAACCTAAGAATATGAATCCTTGCAGTCACGAAAGCTTCAAATCTAGAATGAGTAATTATATCTCCGGTATCGAAATCGTGAAAAAAAAAAAAACCCACAACAGTCTTTGTGGGCGAGTGCGGGGGGCCGTGCCTGTGGTGATGGTGATGGTGACCAACGCGCCCTCCCTCCGGCCCGCCATTGCCGTCACCCCGACGGTGTACGCGGTCGCCTCCTGCAGGCCCTCGATGGCGTACGACGTGACCTTGGGGCGCACCATGCGCACCAGCTCCGCTCCGCCTGCAAAGCCACAATGTGTTGCAGGTACGTTGAACTTCTTTCGCGCCGTACGTAGCCAACCGTGCTAATCGGAGGTGCGAGGGAAGGACAATATAAACACAACAAGCAGGTCTAAAGAAATTCGTTTTCCATCGAGATTTCAAAGTGCTCCAGTGGCTCCAGTGGCTTTCTAATTTCGGAAAGGAAGAGCGTTCCAGACGGCCGCAGAAGTGCATCGGAAAGCGTGCGATGCGGTGACTGTCTTTGTTCGATGGCTCGCTAAAAGCCGCTGCTTCTGTTGCTGTTGCTGCTGCTGCGAGGATGACCGGGGTTCGCCTGATGGTTTATGCTCCGTTGACAAGATTGGGGGCAAGGTATTGTGGTTCATTTGTGGCAAGCGCTTAGTGTGTGCAATGGGTGCGACCAGAGGGGCCGTGCGTGTGTCCCCCACGCTGCGTGGCACGCCGCCACTGGTGGACACCGCAGCCGTACGCTCGTGGTTTGCGGCAGCCGTCATTCGTAAGAGAATTTACGTGGCTAGGCCACGTAATAATGGCCAAAATTGTGTTGGAGGACCCTCCACCAGGGGTGGCTGAGAGATCGACAACTGTGCACCGGTGGCGTCCTCGTTACAGCTCGTCAGTGAAGTCGCCAGAATCAGAATCTTTATTTATCGTGGAAGAATCCGATGAACTTTGAAGATGTTTTTCACGGATGTACAGTTGGAGCGGGTCAGCGAGTTAGATGGGTAAACACCCCACCTCTGATTAGCACGGTTGGCTATCTATAGTGCAAAAGACGCTCAAGATACGCACATAGGAATGCAAAATGGAAAAAGGTTAAGCAAGTCGCGATAAATAAATACAATTTAAGTATAGAAGTACAAAATTTGACATACGTAGCTAACCATGCCAATTGGAGGTATGTATGTTTAACGTCTTTGTCACCATATGTAGCCAACCTTGCAAATTCCTACCGATTTTTCAACAACAAATGCGAGAATGGGACAGGCAAAGTCGTGCCTCTGGAAGCTCGATACGGTACACGGCGTCCCCACTTCCGCACTATGATGCCCTATTGGCTTGACTAATGCCAACAATACACGTACGTATGTATTTACGTCTGTAAACTGCCATCACAACCGAGAAAAAATAATGTTGTTACGAGATGATGGTTTTCTTGACGGTGGTATTAATCCTGTTGTGATGCGGATTTTAGGGTGTCACGGTGGCGAGATGTTAAATATCTCGTCTGGTATACAGGAGGTCGTGGGTTCGATCCTAACCCTAAAACATGTATACATGGAGTTTGTGTGTTCTCCTCGTTGTGGCGTTAATTTTTCTAGGGGACCTTCGGGGTTTACCCTCCACATTTAGAATCGACACACGTTCAGAGTCTTTGGCTGCTCTACATGCCCACGTGACGATCAGGCACTTCGTCGAGCTATCATTTGTGACCAGGTTGCGCCTGAAAGCTTACCTGGTAAAATAAAAAGAGTTAATTTCATAGTTTCTCCATAAGAGGTTTTTGGGTTGGATCGCGTAAATATAAATGTGTCATTAAACCCGCCACCACCCGACACAGCCAATTAGTAAGGTTTGTCACGTGGAAATTATTCACTAGTCGGAGAGTAAAACCCTCAACATTTACAATTGTAAACTGGTAATGAATTGGCATGTTTTGTTTACGTAGCAAAACTTACAAATTGGCTGTGGCGGGTGGTGGTGGGTTTATCGACGCAATTACATTTGCGCGATCTACCAAAAAACCTCTACTATGGATAGCATTGGTCGCGAAAGCCTACGCGCAAAACCAAATCGTTTCTCGTCGCAATGACATTTAATGACAACGGCGACGATCTTGCGACGGGGCACCGTGGTGTCATCGCGAATCCCTCACCGGAGGCCGGGCCCCACGTGATCCGGTAGCCCGTGGATCGCGAGACGCCGCTCCACCCAATGCGGACGCTGCTCCTCTTCACCTCCAGCACGCGCAGGTCCGACACCGACAGCGGGAACGACGCCTCCGCGTCATCCGCGGTGACTGGGAGAGCGCGGGAGATTGAATCACGTGGGAGGGGGGGGGGCAGCAGGAGCAGAGGCTCAACGGACGGAGCCGTGGGCGGCGTGAAAACGGAGAGAACCGACACCTCATCGCTCAGGCAAACAGCATCGGCCCCTGGCTTCCACCTCCCTCATACGTGTATGTACGTTGAACTTCTTTCACACCGTACGTAGCCAACCGTGATAACCGAAGGTGCGGGGGGATGGACAATAAACTATAAGTCAACAATGACCATTGTTGACATCCTAAGATGTGGCACTAATTGCATTAAGGGATAATGATCACGATGAAATTGATTATTAGTATGTTGATATTGATAGCGATTACAATGATTACAAAGTCAATGATGATTATCGATGAGTATGATTCGTGGTGATGACGAAGATGATGATATTGGCCTAAACTGACTGCCAAACTGGGATTTAAAATTTCCACGTTCTATAAATGTTTTTTCAAAGTGTCTCATCGTTACTCAACACAAAAGGAGCACGAGTTGGCACTCATCTGCATTTAGCAGCTTCTGAGCTGGTGGTTGAACAAATTCCACATTTCTCTGTCAGGGCCAGACACTCCCCATAGCAACCGTCGCAGGCTATGGCACAAAGCGGGCCCTCGTTCAATTGAACTAAACTAAACTAGTTATTATATTTTAACAGGTAATGTTCACTGAGCTGTATTGCTCTTTATTGCAGAAGCGACCTGTCCACAAATGATAACTCAACGATGTGGCTTATCAGGTGGAAATGTATAGCAGCCAGATACTCTATGTGTATGTTGAACTTCTTTCACACCATACGTAGGCAACCGCGCTGATTGGAGGTGTGGAGGGAAAAATCCGGAGGGCCCATAGAAAAATCCACATGACCACGCGGAGAGAGAGAGAAACACGGAAACTCCGATTATAAAGCAAATGTCAGGGTCCGGATCGAACCCACGACCTCCTGCACATCAGGCGAGGTAGTTAACATCTCGCCACGGCGGTCACCCAGTGAGCGTAGGGACGATGCCGAGGCTACAGGCAGCGGGGTGGAGTGAAGGGGTTGAGCTCACCGGTGCGGGCCGTGGTGGGGGAGCCGGGCCCCTGGGTCTCGCCAAAGGTGGCATGCAGGGTGAGCGCGTACTCCGTGTCGCGAGAGAGGCCCAGCAGCTCGTGGCTGGAGGCCGTGCCGGGCAGCACCACCTGCTGGGAGCGGCGCCGGCCAGCCTGCCCTCCTGCATTCACGTCGTCACTCGTGATCAATCGTCATCGTCAACGGCCTGCCCTCCTGCATTCACGTCGTCAACACAAATTTGGCCAAATCGTTGCACGGCCTAACCCCCCCCCCCACCCAAAACACCAACAACTGCATCCCACATTTATTTTGTTGCTGTTGAGTGCCTTGAGATGCGATTGCATTCAGACGCGAAGCAAATTCACATCGCGCCTTGTTGCTGCTGCCGCTGCTGCCGTTGCTGCCGTATTCGTTTTACGGGGACGCCATATTTCCCTTCGACGGGTGACCTTTCGATGTCGACCTTGACCCCCACGCGCGTAAGGGGTTTGACCTTTGACATTTTGCCCTCGCTCTGACGGCCGACCCACCGTTGGTGGGCCCCCAGACGAGGCTGTAGCCCGTGGCACCGGGCAGAGACGTCCACGCCAGCCGCAGGGAGCTCGAGGTGACTCTGGTCACGCGCAGGTCCTGCACCACGCCTGACGACACTGCCACCCCCCCCCCCCCCACGCCACAAGAGCAATAAACACATCATCATCATCGTCGTCGTCTTCGTCATCATCGCTGTGTAGCTCGCTACGATCGATTCACCGCTGGGCGAAGGTCTCCCCCAGAGCTGTCGCCATCTCGTCCCTCTTGACCTCCCCCCCCCTCCCCACCCGATCTCAATTTTAGTTTTGTTCATCGCCGAATGCAAATCGTCTTCACGTCACGCGGGTGACATCGCCAACGCGTATGGACGACGGTCGGGCAATAAAATAAATCTGCTAATTAAAGAAAGAAAAGTTGGGGGGGGGGAAAAACCACATCTCGATATTGGGCTTTCATCCAGCTGTGAGGGGAAGGGGCGAGGTGGGAGAGCGAAGCCCCTAGGCCCACACATTTAACATGACTCAAAACAATGAATTCGTTTTTGCCAAAGTTCCCCGAGTGCTGGGCACTGGAGTGGTGTTTTGTATGAACGTTGAACTTATTTCGCGCCGTACGTATCCAATGGTGCTACGCAACAAACCAAGCACAAAAAAACTATCCTCGAAGAAATTCGTTCCCAATCTGGATTTCAAAGCGCGCAGCTCCGGCTGTGTCTCAGTGGCCTCTGCTTTGGGGGTGTCAGCGACCACCGTATGAATGAACATATATCTCGACATTGGGCCTCCGTCCAGAGCGCGCACGTGGAGGGCACGTGTGCGGGTGGCTGCTCAGTACGAGGCGGGGAGAAAACGGCCAGAGGCAGCGTCTGGTCGCCATGGCTCGGGACGAGGCCTCGTGCAAAACCGGTTCGTGGACAATTTGCGGCGAATTTGTGTTTGTGATTCATGAAATCTAAACACGCAGTGTGCCGCTGCGATTATAGGAGGGGGTGGGGGGCTGATAAAACACGACATTGTTAATCGCGGGGATTAGGTTTAGGCTTGTCTTAATGCTAGGCTGCCATCCGCCGTATTCGTGTGGAATTGACACCACCTGGGCCAGGATGGTCAGGGGAGGTCCTCCTTCCCGCACTTGCCGGAGATGCTGCCGTGCAGGGCTGAACGATTTGGGGAAAATATCTAATTGCGATTTTTCTGACAGATATTGCGATTTTATTTGCGATAAAAATGTTTTAAGTCAAGCTTCAGTTCAATATTCACTGTGTAATAGATTTAAAACATGTGATGGAGCATTACCACGTGGCACGATGGTTCTAGATTCTGTAAGGGGGCCACCCGGAACCACGCTCTTCCTAGTTGAGGAGTAACCCGGAGCGCACCGTCCCGAGCTGAGCTACCAGAGGTGGGACAAAGTCATTGTTATGCAAGTCCAAGTCGAGTCTGAAGTCATCAAATTCATGACTCGAGTCTGACTCGAGTCCAAGTCACATGACTCGAGTCCACACCTCAGAGGTGGGACAAAGTCATTGTTATGCAAGTCCAAGTCGAGTCTGAAGTCATCAAATTCATGACTCGAGTCTGACTCGAGTCCAAGTCACATGACTCGAGTCCACACCTCTGTGAGCTACCGACGAGGAGGAGGAGGCGCCGTCTCTCACCACCGTCCCTCTGGAACATTGTGGTAGGGCTCACGGAGAGACCCGGCTTGCCGGAGCCGCCTTTACACGAGGTGCTTAGCCATGTCGCTACCACCATCACCACACCATGCGCCTCCGAAGAGCACGGTTGGTTACGTACGGTGCGAGGGGAGTCCAACATACATCACCGCCATCACCATCATCACCGCCATCACCACCATGAACCACACCATGTACCTCTGAAGAGTTCAACATACAAACATTCAACTGGGAATCTGAATGTCTGTGGAAGGCTTGCAGAGTCCCCAGGACAGCAACGTAAAAAATAGGTTTGATCCTGGGACAATGAGGACAGATGGGAAGCGCGCCTTTGATCCCACGATCCCCGTTCGAGGGATCGTGTTCCGCTGAGAGAATGGAATCACGCTTCTGGTCTTGGGCAACCGTGAGAAAATGCCGAGCTCTCGAGAGCACACCAACAAGGATATGTCGGCAATGGCAAAAGGGTGGTTAATTCCACAGTCCATTTTTACTAAATAAATAAATTCCGTAAAAACCTGCAATGCTGCTCAACAGATTCGCACACAGCCGTGCGAATACGTTCTTTGATCAGATGAAATCAATGTGTGACCTGTATCCCTGTCTGCCGGTGACATGCCTCCTAGATTCTTAACGTTGAGACCAAACGGATTGCGATGTGACGCGTAATCAAGTGCAGATTTTCCTCCACCGTCCCGAGTAATGTTTGACCGGGTCCAATCAGTGTGGTGTGTGTGAAGTGATTCGTGTGGAACAGGGGGGATGGATTTTCTCTACAGTAATGCCACGTGTGCAGTGCCGGATTATTTCAGTAGCAAAAGTAGCTACATATGTTGCTACGGGCGCTGCACTTTTAAGGGCCCCATGGTAAATGCTTTCAAGCTATCAGTTCAGGTTCAGTGACTTTGCACTTGCTCTATTGCTATAGTACTATACTGCCTTCAACTTTTATGAACGACTGGGTGTTCAAGGTTAGCGATTTGTCGTATTATCTGGCAGTATAGCAAATAAAAAAATACAATTACTTTACTATGCATGTACATTTTTTATGTGTTTTAATATTTACGTGTTATTTTTTACTTAGGGCCCCTTTATGACATGTTACAGGCCCCGCACTAGCTTAATCCGGCACTGCGTACGGTGCAAAATGAGTTGAACGTACGTACACAACACCAGTCAGGCGCCCAGCATTCAGGAAACTCGGCAAACGCATTCATTGGTTTGAGTCATGTTAAACGTCGAGGCCTAGGGACTCCGCTCCCCACCTGCGCCCCTCCCTACGGCAGCCAAATGCTCGAAACGCGTGACGTTTATAAATGTGGAGGGGAAAAACCGAGGGACCCGGAGAAAAATCCACGGTGACCACGGGGAGAGAGAGAGACACGCTAACTCCAATTATACAGGCGTTAGGGTTGAGATCAAACCCACGACCTTCCGCATACGAGGCGAGGGAGTTAACATCTCACCGCTACGGCATCCCCGTGCGTAGGTGCACGTACCGTGGGTGGGCATCGCCGGTCTCGCACGTGTGCACGCACGCACTCTCACTCTCACAGACGCGAGCGTGCGTCAGCGCGTGTCCCACGCTCAACGTGTGCGGAGCGCAACGTGTGCGTGCCGGCAGCGTCGGTGCAGGGACCATGTGCTCGGGGGGCCAGCCGTGCTTTTCATTAATGAAGAATGCATCGCGCCATGTGCTTGCCGGCCATGTGTGCGTGCGCGCGTGTGGGTGTGCATGTGTGTGCTCATGGCATCTCCACGTATGATGACGATCAATCATTACGTCTCCATGTATGATTGTATGCAGGCATTGTGCGCAGTGTTTCCAGTCCTCCGCATCATGAAAGTACCATGCGTCGAGTGCACAGGTGTGCATGACAAGTGCGTGTCTGGACACGGTGGTGCAGTGGTTAGCGCGCTGTGCTACCATCCCGGCGACCCGACTTCGATTCCCACCTCACGGCCACCAATACAGGTCGCGATTACATGGACTGGTCCTGGGCCTCCTCTCGGTCGACTCAGCCTCGTGTACCATTCCGGCCTTCGTAGGTGGTACTCGTGAACACCACTTTCCCCAACAGTGTGTTAAGGCTATTGGAGGGACTCTTTGTATATGTAAGTAATTGTTTACGGGTGTGCTTGTATCTATGTATGTGTATTTGGGTCTGGATATTTCATTTTTGTGGTTTAGTGGTAATTAATTGAAGGTGGAGGGTTTACCAGCCCTTCGCAACCATCCAATCAGCCGACCCATGGCACCTGGGTCTTTTTTTTTTCTGGGTTTGCCCCGTGACCTCCTGCCGATGGGCGTTCGACACCACGTGGCCTCAACGTGCACATAGCCTGGCACAAGCGTCACCGCCACTTAGTGGCGAATGGCGGTTGTATTTGGGTCTGTATTATGAGCAACTTGAACGTGTCTTCTTCGTGTGTGTGTGTCGATAGGGATGCGTGTGTGTGCATCCGGCCGTGGTGCTGGATACCCATCCCCTCGTGTGCAGTGCCGACCTCAGCCGGTGCTACTCGCGAACAGCACTTGCCCCAACAGTCTGTGAAGGTTACACGGGGTGGGGGGCACCTTTGTCTTTTGATGTGCGTGGCGGCTGCGCGAGGTCACTCACGTGTGGTTGCGCTCGCCGTCACCACGGGCCCCTCCACGCTGCCGTACACGGGGTTGATGGACACTTGGTATTCACTGCCGGTGCTCATTCCCGGCAAGAGGAAGGTGGAGTAGGAGCCGTCGACGGTCACGCTCTGCCTGTCCCCTCCTGCTCACAGCAGCAGCAGCAGAGCAGAGCGAGCGAGCGACACAGGGGCAGAAGAAATCGGTGACGATGCATGCTGCCAATACGACACGCAAACAACACGCCGCGCCAAAATTATTCCGGCATACAAACAGCTTTCTCACAATATCGTCGTCGCGTACAAAACAACATGCTATAAACATTGTGCCCAATATGATACCGACATACTAACACCGTGCTACTGACACATAAACAACATCCTACCAATGTGCTAATGCCACACAATATGGTACCTATATGTTACTGACATACAACAACTATGCTATCAGCACGCTATCAACATGCCATTGACATACAACTGAAAACTAATTTCTTTACAACTGCTTCTTGTGTTTAGTTTGTTGTCCTTCCCGCGCACCTCCGATTAGCACAGTTGGCTACGTATGGCGCGAAAGAAGTTCAACGTGCATACGCACGACCAGTGCGCAATGAACATGGCAACAGCGTGCAACTTACAGTCAACATGCGACCAACGCATCACAAAAGATCAAGCGTGTTGAGGGCTGCAGAGGCGTAACAACGCAACACATCGATCTCCTGCTGCTCGCTGCAGCAGGAGATCGATGTGATCTCCTGCTGCAGCTAGCATTGAGGCGCTGGCGATCATCTCCTGCTTAGGGCTTGGAGCCAGTCGGAGACTTTACCACCTTACTATTATGAGGGGCGGGTCCCTCCGCTGGTTTGGGCATGGTTGGCTATGTACGGTTGCTTAAGAAGCTCAACGTACATACACGTGTAGTGTTGACGGAGCGAGAGACAGGATTCTTGAGGCGGCACCTTCTTTATTCAACACCTCCAGGTGTTCACAGGTTCGCCCTCGCTCCTCCCAAGTCGTGTCGCCTAGCCTAGACACAACCCTGACCGTGCAGCACCGATGGCATCGACCGAGACAGCCAACAACTCTCCGGCCGCACAATGATCTAGTGAAGGTGGCAGCCACGAAGGCGGCGAAGACGACGGCGACGACGAGACGAGTCCACTCCCCACAATCGGCAGCCGGGAGCTCTCGCTCTCCACTGCTTTTATCCTCCTCGGCGCGGCCTGGCTCCGCCCTGGCCACGCCTCGCTTCTCTAACCCACGAGCCGGTTCCAGGGGCTTCCCGATGAGGTCTTCCATGACCCTTGCCCCAGTTCCTCCGCCCTGCCGGCACGCACGCCGTGTAGATGCTCGACGGCGTGTGCACAAACTGTCCACCGCAGTTGCCGCTGCTGCACAGCAGCCGGCGCTATGTCACTACACATACACTGTTGACTTCCTGAATAAAGTGGTACTCATTTCGATTGATAATTCATTTTGGATTAGGTCATAACCCAAAAAGTTAATAAGCATCGTAGTATTGGCTACGAAAAACTAATGTTTTAAGCTACTAATTGCATTCGACTCTTTTGGGTTTGATGGGCCGAGTCAGCCCTCAACCGGGATTGGAATTCGCAAACCTCCCGATCGCTGGCGGCTCACTCTACCGACTCGACTTTTTTCAGCTGTCCATCGCGAACAACGATTCACTGCAGAGAACAGCGAGCAGCAGCATTTTCCCTGCCCACCGGTGGGATGAGAGGCACCAGTCCCTTGAGCGGAAGCATCGGCCGCACTGTGGGCGAGAGTTGCTGCTCCTGCGCCGGATGGCATTTGTGTTGTGCCGTTTGCTGTTGGTGTTTATGTCGATGGGGATTTTTCTTCTTCCATCAACCCTCTCCACCGAGTCGGCGACAGCAGCACTTCACCGCTGCTTACGGTTGGCTTTTACCATTTCATCCCATGCCGAGCAGCTCGCTCTGCCGCCAAGCCACCTGGTATAGTCAACGCCAAATCTGTGGGAGGGGGGCGGTGGCAGGAAATAACGCCGTGGGCACACGCGCTTGCCTGGCACAGCAGCGGGCCCAAACAGGTGGAGCAAATGGGCGCAGGGAGAGAAGAGAAAACATCTGCCCCTTCCGCCCGCTCCCCCACCACCCCCCTGCCACCGCCGATGGAACGCAGCGCTCGTGTCTCACGAGAGGGAACAGCTGTCAAGGTCGTGGAGGCTGGAATTACGATGTTAGAGAACGATTTGTCAAGCGCTGATCAGCAAAAAAACCTGAGACGCAGAAGCCCCCCTCCCCTGCCCACCCCTCCTCCCTATCCTTAAACGATAGCTGCCTTTGATCTCAGGAATATGTCCAATGGAGGGGTGCGTGAGCACACAAGCCCACTACCAGCACACGCGCGTGCGTTGGCACGTCCGCACAGCTCGTGCAGTTCGTACGTTGTTGACGAGCTGATCCTCGCGGATCTCACTGCTCCATCTCCTCGGTGGACGTGGCCTCCCAGGTGCACGCTCTCCCTCGAGCACCCGCGTACATTTCTGAACAGTTGACGCTAGCGTCTCCGACTTGCGTCCATTCTGTAATCCTCGTGGTTCCCCCTCCTGTCTCTCGGTGTCGTTCCGAGCGTGCACCGCCGCACGCTTCCCTGGGAAATTTTCAGCTTTTGTTCCATTGTTTTCTGTCGCCAATTTCCAAGTATATCACCCGCACGTCGTGGCTGGTAACGTGCGGTAATTAATAACGTTCTCTGTCACGTGATTCACGTGCTGTGAAGAAAGGGTCATTTTCCAAAAAATGGCACCTATCTTCTTACATCTTCCTTTTAAGGCGGTGTTATTTATGAATGTTTTGAGTTTCTTAACGAAGAAGGTAAGTGGGTAGGGTAGGCAGTTGGGCGAATGGGTACGTTAATGCATAGGTATGTAGATTGTGTGGGTGGGTGTGTGAATGGGTAAGTAGTTAGGTAGGTCCATGAATAGATAGGCAGGCAGCCAGGCAGACAGGTGGGTGAATGGGTGCATGGCTAGTGATGTAGGTATCAAGGTGGCTAGGCAGGTAGGCGAGTAGGTCGGTAGATATGTGCAGACACAGGCCGTCGGCTTGAGAAGGAAAGCGTCCCGGGCAACGCTAGCTCCCCGTTTCAAGAGCCCACGGGTGGCACAAATGCTCCCCCGCTGCTCCCTATGGTTGCGCCTGTCACAGACTCTTTTTTTTTTTCCGGTGAACCATTCCCGGTTCACCGATCCCGGTTCACCGATCCCAGCCCCACTCCGGCCCATGGCCGCCGTTTCTCCCTCTACGTCCGTACCCTCGGTGGCTCCCCAGGTGAGCCGATACCCGGTGGCCCCCCGCGGCGGCTCCCACACGGCCCTCATCGAGTTGGTCGTCACGTTCTGCAGCAGCAGCCGCCTCACGCCCTCCAGCCTCACTGAGGGACAAACAGGGACGACGAGAGAGAGAGGAGAGAAGCGAAAGTTCAAAAGATGAACGTTCAAGAGATGACCGCCGTGATGGGGCGACGCAGGGCAAGGTATGGCGGTGCCCGTGGTCATTCACATGGGTGGCCCTCGACAGCCAGAGGTGGAAATTTCACGCAGCTAAATCCGAAATAATAGAATAGAATTGGCAAGTGGTAACGTAGGTATATGGACGTACGCGTTAATGCGTACCGTCCGGATATGGAACTGCCTCCCTGAACACCTTGTAGGTGAAGTCATCGATTCTGGTCTCCAGGCCTTCACATGCCGAGCACGTGGACTTCTACTAACTTCACCGCACGTCTTGCAGGAGTGAGTTTTTGAGCTCTAGTGAGCCAATGATTATGTCGATTAGATGTACTAGTGTCTGATTTGGCTGTTGTTCACAATTAAAAAAAGTGTCAGGGAGGGTTGTGGGCATGAGGTGACCGCTGGCTGTGGTTTGACCTCGTGCCCTTCTGATTTGCAAGACATTTAAATTGTAACGTGGCTATGGCGCACATTGGCTTGCTATTTCGAAGGGCCTCTAATCCATACGATGTGGAGCAGCAAGGCTATGCACTGTGCAGAGTGTTGTACGAAGGTACATATGGGACAAGGCAGTGCACAGGACTTAGCAACAACTCGCTTTTGATGTGCTTGATACAAATGTGAACCACCCAGAGAGAGAGAGACGGAGAGAGAGAGAGATACCCGCCCATGGTAGCGAGATGTTAACTGCCTCACTTGGTAAAAATTATTACATTTTATAGAGTGTCGTTCGTGCAATTGCATCCCACAATGCTGCACATCAATGAGCCAGTTCCTTACACAGATGATACGAAAACAAAAACCCCACTACTAAGCAAATCAAAAACAACAAAATGAATACATAAATAACGAGAGAAAAAAATACACGTAACAAGAAAATATCACCACAGAGAAAATATTTGAAAATAAATAAATCAGTTCGGTCTCCATACCCTGGACAACAATCCCAACATTTCACCCGATTTTGGAGAACCCTCAAAGGAGGGGTGGTGGAGTGGCCAAACAGTTACGAGCCAGTAGGACCATAGCATAGATGCCTATTTTTCCAGCTCATGCCTGGACAAACAAATAGGCCGTGAGTTCAGATTTTAATAAGTTAATTGATTCGATTTTTTGGATGTGTAGCGGGAGAGTGTTGCAGACTGTGGGGGCTGCACATGGGAACGCTCGTCCACCAATTGGCGTGTGTTTAATGTTTGGGATGGACAGAAAGCCCCGAGTGAAGAAGAGCGGAGAACCTGAGGGGGGGAACAAACTGAAACGAGAGGGGAAAGATGGGCAGGGGGCTATAGCCCATGAAGAATTTTCAAAACAGGAAAAGTGCAATCTTGAAAGTGACTCTGTGGAGCGATCGTTAAAGGGTGTCATATAATAACGCTTACGGGTACGAGTGGGTACACTTGCAGCTGCATTTTTCACATAATGTACATGTTGGATGAGAGACAAGGGAAGACCATATAATAGAGAATTGCCATAGTCTAGCCTGGAGGTAACAAATACATGAATGATTGTTTTTGCTGCCATATGGGAGAGACAGTTACGGATACGATAAAAAAAACAAATTTTACGGAGATGAAAATAAGCAGTCTTGCGCATAAAAGAAAAATGAGAAGAAAAAGAGAGGTTAGAGTCAATAATAAAACCAAGATTGACTGCCTGTTGACTTATATGAAAATCAGAGTCAATCAGACGTGCAGTGGATTGACGATGCTGAGAGGCAAGCGGTTTTTTCTCCAACTTAGAGAACTTCAGTTTTAGCGTTATTAATTTGAAGAAAATTTGCCACGAGCCAGTCAGCAACGACAGTCAGACAGGAAGACGGAGTGGAAGTTGGATTCATATCAGATTGACTGAAACTAATATAAATCTGTGTATCATCTGCATAGAAATTGTGTTTTGTACCAAAACTTGACGTGAGTTTGCCCTTGTGCAAACACAATGAAGCAAAGGTTTGTGAGAGGAAGGGATACCATTTACACCGGAGGTCATGGGTTCGATCCTGACCCTGACGCCTGCTGCATATTTGGAGTTTGCATCTCTCTCTCTCCCCGTGGTCACGTGGATTTTCTCCAGGTTTTCTGGTTTTTCCTTCCACATTCAGAATCAACATCACGTTTGGAGTATTTGGCTGATATAAATGTCCACGTGATGATAAGCCACTTGAGCTGTCATTTGTGGCCAGGTCACTTCTGAAAAAGATATTTCACTCTATTATCTAGTTAATACTATTTACCTGGTAAGGCCCACTGAGCTATACAGCTCGTTTTTGACTTGTCAAATTTATTGCAGTCACATACTCTAAAGTGCATTGTTTCTAAATGTGGACAAAAAAAAAGAAAGACCCAGAGAAAAATCCACGCGACCACGATGGAGAGAGAGATGCAAACTCCACATATTCATGCAGGCGTCAGGGTCGGGATCGAACCCATGAACTCCTGTATACCAGGCGAGGTAGTAAACATCTCCCTACAGTGGACGGGTATCTGCCTCTCTCTCGCTTCCATGACGTTTGCATCAAGCACACCAAACGCGAGTTGTTGCTAAGCCCTGTGTGCTACCGACTCCCATCTGTCCGCGTGCATTAACATGCACGTCCGTATCCCTACGTAAACACTTGCCCATACACCCGCCCATCCATAGGAGCGTAGGTATATCTCGCCACCATCGCGCTCGCTCGGGTAAGCTCAGCGGGACTTACCTGGCGGAATAAAAAAATAAATTTAGACTTTGTCATTTCAAGTTTGAAGCAGTGATCGTTTGCACTGGCGGGCTCAGCGTCGTGCGACACGGCCGTTATGCGCCCCCGCGACGACTCACGGGTCCTGCCGGATGCCGTGAGCGCTGCCTCGTGGTTGCCCGACGTGGCGAGCGCGTACAAGGAGACCACGTATTCCGTGTCCGGCCGAAGATCGTCCAGCAGGTGGGACGTCGCTCCAGGCGCCAGGTTCATCTCTTGCGAGGGTCCCAACCGCGAGTCTGTTGTGGACGCGCAAGTGAGACTCGGCGTGGGCACGTGGGGTGCTGCGTGCGAAGCAACGAAACGCGATTTTACAAAAACCCACGAGTGGTGGGCGATGCTCATCTCCCTTGGCGACCCTGCACCAAGTGATGGAAATTCACCATTCCTAAGGCAGGAGCCGGCAGTCTTGCCGGCAGGACCACCGCGGTGACCAGAGCTCGATTCCCACTCACGGCCGAGAACAGTGACGGAATATCTGAAGCGGTCCTGTGCCTCCCTCGGGTCAACTCAGCCTTAATTGAGTTCCCGGTGCGATGTGTTAAACAATCACCACCACTCCGGAGACAAAGACGGGCCAGTGCTGCCCCCCCCCCCAGCCCTCACCCCTCGTGTGCCATGCCGTCCTTCGTAGGGTGCCGCTTACGCGCTGACAGCTCCAAGGCTCTCACGGGGAGACGTTGACCTCTGCGTGAGCGTAACCCGCGTCACGTCGCGTGCGTTTGCGTCTTACCGCGCGGCGAGTTCGTCAGGCGATATCCCTGCACGGGAGATGCGGGAGGGTCCCACGTGACCCTCAGCGAGTAGAGGCCTTCGTCGAGCACCCTAATGCGTGTCTGCACCGACAGGTCACCTGCAAAGGGACACAAAGGCAAAGTATTCCCCCGTGCACGCCTGTGTATGTACACACACGCACACACACGTGGGGGCACGAACAAGGTGGCTGGGTTACACTCGACAAGTTTGGCAATGAGTATGCTGTGCTGCAGGTTTGATTCTAATTAATTAAGCGGCGGCCACGTTTCTGGAGCGCGACCTCAGCGGTGGTGGCTCAGTGCTGTGTGGCACGGCCATTACGACCCATCCCGAAATAGACGGACAAGAGAGCCATCTCATTATCCTGTCATTAACTGCCAACAGTGTGAAACGTTCGGTGTCAGGACATTTCGACACGGACAGGGCGGTTGCCACGATCAGTGCCGGATGAAGCTAGTGCGGGGCCTGTGGCATATGCTATGAAGGGGCCCTAAATAAATAAAAACACGTAAATATTAAAACTCAAATGTTTTACTTGTAAAGTAATTGTGTTTTTTAAATTTTCTATACAGCCAAATAATGCGACAAATCGCTAACCTTAAACACCCAGGCGTTCATTAAAGTTGAAGGCAGTATAGTACTATAGTAATAGAGCAAGTGCAGAATCACCGAACCGGAATCGATAGCTTGAAAGCATTTAGCGCGGGGCCCTTGAAAGTGTGGGGCCCGTAGTATATGTAGCTACTTTTGCTACTGGGATAAATCGGCACTGGCCACGATGATGATCACTGCGGCGTCAATAAGCAAGCCGACGGCGCCTCTTGCCACACATAATCTTAACATTCCATGCTGATAATAAATGAATGCAGTCATTGACGCAGACCAGTGTGAACTGTGCCAAACGGAGACATGCTTTACCGCACAAACCGCATACACCCACACACACACAAAGATCCTCCGCATAGCCTTAACAAACTGTTGGGGCAAGTGCTGTTAGCGAGCACCTATGAAGGCCGCCATGGCGATGTTTACACACCGCACCAGGTACTAATCCGAGGTTGAGTCGATCTAGGGGAGGCCCAGGACCGGTTCATATAGCTGTCACTGGTGTTGGCCATGAGCGGGAATCAAACTCGGGTCGCCAGGTTCGTAGCGCACTTGCACATGCACATGTCACACACACCCACACTCCCACACACACACACCCAGACACATACATACACACATTGGCCACCGTCCAACACGCGAACTTGAATTAGGATATATTTATTTGTGCCAGTGCCTGTATAAAAAACGTGCACTTTGAATGCGTTGTCATTGCTTTCGTGTCTTGAGTTTGTTCAGCGTTTATGTAATACAACCAGGTCACCACAAAGTGTATGTTTGTTCCACTAAAATGTATCTTTGTTCCATATGTGCTTGTACACATGGGTTATTTATTGAGTGATGATGCAGTGGTTAGCGTGCCATCCTGCGAACCCAGCCACGTGAGTTCAATTCCCAGCCATGGCTAACGTCAGCGGCGATTGTCTGAACCGGACCTGGGCTTCCCCTAAGTTGAATCGAGTTTAGTCACCACCTCTCAGCGTGTTCGCAATGGGTTTATTTAATCTCCGGTTAAAATAAAGGATTCACACAACAAACTTATTCCAAGCTTGCATCTTTCACACGTGTCCTTTTCACAAACCCTTACTGACCAACGGTGTTAAGAGGTACGGTCAAACAAGAATGCCTAAATCACAAGCCCCTAGCCCTCAGCATCGCTGGTGTGTGTAGTTCCCCAAAGACACGCCCGGCTTTTGCAATGCGTCAACTTGACCTCCCCCTCGCACTCCACCGCATTATGCACATTTCCCCATGAATACACAACAGTTCTGGAATGCGGATGGAAACAGTGGATGCTAATTATTGTATGGCAGGATAGGGTAAAGCACCTTGGGAGTTTAATCTAGAGCAGTGTTATTCACTAATTTTCAGAGGAGGGCCACCACATATTTGAACCATTGTGGTTTGACAGCATGATGGGGTGCAAAATATTCTTATATTTTGATATTGGCAAGGGACGGCCCATGATGTAGCTGCTCACCCCGAGCTCTCAATGTCCTGATGGTGGCATGGTCTTTGTGCTGTTCGCCTTTTGGCGTCCTCTGGTCTAACGCTGTTTGAGACGAGGCTCTAAAGAAAGCTGTCTCTGGTGTGGACCAATCAGTTTCAAAGACAATACACATACTGTCAGAGCATGTTTTTTTGTTTGCATGTTCACCACAATTATATGTGGTTAATGCAGACATGATTCCTTGCAAAAGGTTTCAGTTTGGTGTTTTAACATCTTAACACCTGTTTATTGCCAGAAAGGGTAAAACCTATTTTTGTTTAAAATATGATAGGGTGGTTTCACATTTTTGTATCATTGGTGGCCGCACTAAGGGCCACCAGTGGCCTTGCAATGAAGAACACTGGTATAGGATGTAGCTCTCATGTGCTGTTGATGTAATCAGGAGGAGGAGGAGGTTGTGCAGGATGGTGGAGGGTAGGATACCCATACAGGCACCCAGAACTAAAACCAAATGGTGGTTGCGATAAGATTGAGAGAGTTAACATATCAAATGTGTAGCAAGGTAAAGACTTAAAGCCAGATGGTGACGGTGATGAAACTGTAACCGTGAGACATTTGGTGTCAAGTGCAGCAGTTGCCGGATCTGGCAGAATGAAGGAAGCGATGGGTGTGGTTGCATCGACAACCGTCGCCAAGATGACCTCTTCGCCTTGACCACTTTATTTATTTATTGATATTTACCACCTCGGCGGCTGTTGTTGCCATGCTGTGCTCTGCGTTACCCGTGCGCGCGGTCGCCGTGATGGGTTGCCCTTGGTGACCCTCGTATTGCGTCACCACGGTAACGGAGTAATCGCTCGAAGGTCGGAGGTCGGATAACGACACGGTCGTTTCCCCGCTACGGACCGCCACCTGGGACGAAGACACAACAACAGTAGCGATGACGATGATTGGTCATGATTCGCCACGATTCAAGATCAAGTTTGTATTCATAGATTTTATTTTTATCGTTCCGTATGTATTCGATCTTTATTCTATCTCTTTTTGCCAGTATTAAATTAAGAAAAAATAAGAATAGGTGTTTGTTTGCATGTTCACGACAAGCACGTGTGGTTAATGCAGACTGGATTCCTTGCAAAAGGTTTCGATTTGGTGTTTGAACATTTTAACACCTCCTGTTTTATTGCCAGAAAGGGTGAAAGTTTTTCTTGTTTTCTTCATAATTGGACAGTTTTCTTCTCTCAGATTGCGGAAATGTAACATTCTATCATCCCCATATAATTTTCAGACCTTGTAAATCGTAATTTCTCACACACACACAATTATCGTGAGAGAAACTATTATAATTTTTTCCAACTATATTCCAATTGTGCTGTTTGGGTGGCTCAGATTGCTGAGTTCTTGAGTTCAAAACGAGGCTTGTGACGAAGCCGGGTTCTCTGGCGTCGCGAGTTGATGGATTCCGCCCAATAAAGAATCACATTCAATTTGGTTCAGCGCTTAATTTGGATAAAAGCCATCTCTAAAGATGAAGGCTTTCATGCGACGAAAATTACTCTCACTGGCAGAGTGAGGAGAAAGCGCTGCTCACTACTCTGTGGAATAAGTGTGATTTGAAGCTCTTTGATATCCGCTTCCGTGGGCTGTTCTCCAAAACGAAGACTTGCGCTGCCCTTGCGAGAATTTCAACTGGATTCTCCGTCTCGTGATGACGCAACACCGATAGCGCGTGTGCAGCCAGTTTGCCACTCCACTGCTGGATGAGGGCCTCCTCAGGCCCTGCAGTCAATGAGGGATATTTGACCGTATTTCGCCAGGCTGGTCAGTGCGGGTTAGTAAAGTGAAGCAGATAGCACAATCGAGATAAATGCAGCAAAAAGTAAAACAAATTGTAATTATTTTTAAAAATATGCATTCGCATACTTGTCAACCCCTTACCAGTGCCTACCTTATTTTACAGACCAATTCAGACCTTATTAGTCACTCCGTGTCCTTATAAATCTCAACGTTCATCTTACAAAGTCCCATCACAAGGGAGAAACACAAACAGACACATTTGAATTTTTTGCCCGTATTGAAACGTCTGTACGCCGTATGGACCTGAAAACTCAATTTCCCTGTACAACAATACGGTCTAAACCGCATGGGTTGACAGCGATGCTTGATTCGCATCGCTCCGCTCGTAGACCTCACCTCTCCCTGCTCGCTGGCGATTGGCTGCCCGGCCGCGTCTAGCAGCACGTACAGCACGCGGTAGCCAATCACAACGTCGCCCGGGGCGGGCTCCGTCCAAGAAACGTGCAGGGCGCTGGGCCCCCTGGGCAGAGCCACGAGGTCCTGGACGCCGAGCGCTGCGTGGGGAGAGCGTCAGAGTACAACTCAGACAAACGGAGACAAAAACAAAGACCACCGCCCCCCCCCCGTATAGCCTTAACAAGACTGTTGGGGCAAGTGCTGTTAGCGAGTAGCACCCATGAAGGCTGGTATGGCACACGAGGAGGTGGGTAGCCATCACCATGCCCGGCCGCCTTCGACTCTTACCTGTTAACCCCGTATCAGTGCTGCCTACCTTACTACAGACCAATGCAGACATTATTGGTCATCCTACAAAGTCCCCATCACAAGGGAGTAACACAAACAAATAGACACATTTTTATTTTTGCCCGTATTGAAATGGCTGTATGCCGTATTGACCTGGAAACTCAATGTCCCTGTACAAGAATACGGTGTAAACCGCATGGGTTGACAGCGATGTTGTCTCCCCCAGTGGCGATGACTAAGTACACACCACCAGCTACTCATTTGAGGCTGAGTCGACCTAGGAGACAACGTATCGCATAGGGTGTCACAGACACTCACGGGACAAGCTTTGGGAGCTCAGCACCCAAATTGTGTTGTTGTTGTACAGCACCAGTTAACTTTTTTTTCAATACTCTTTGGTTCTTTCGGTAAAGTCACGTAGGTATAAATTTAAATAAATCACGACGTTTCTGGCGCAACACAAGCTTGTTGTGTTGTGCCCGAAACGTCGTGATTTATTTTGTGTTGCCCCCGAATTTTATTTTCTACCTACGTGACTTTACCGAAAGAACCAAAGAGTATGGATTCCTGCAGTCACGAAAGCTTCAAATCAAGATTATTTTTTTCTGTTGTGGTCCCCATCATTCATCTCATTTTGCATGGAGTGGTGAAACTTTTGTACGCACATTTGCCGTGCGATCTTTCGACGAAAGGCCGTTGTATATGTTTAAATATTAATATAATTATTGATGATTCATTTAAGAAGTCATGGGATTCGTTTGAACATTTATCTCGGGGTGGGATTAAACAATTGATTCATTTGTCATCTAAATGTTCTTGTAATCTTGTCCGTGGCCTGAATGTGACATGAGTTTAATCATCATACTTTGCACAGCCCTTTGTCAGTGCACTGCTGGATGAAAGTCTCGTCATGCAGTGTCGGCCACGCGGTTTGTTAGGCCATGCTTGACCACGATGGTCACTGCTGATTAGAGTCACGGTTGGGAATTGAACTCAGGTCATTGGGTTTCAGGATACAATGCGCTCACCACAATTGAAATAATGGGAATTTCTCGAGCACAATTGGATGTGTGTGTTGTAAGTGACAAAAACATACAATTTAATCAAATATTTAAAACGATCAATCGTTACATTCGCTTCAACGACACACCGGAGGCAAAAGTCAAAGGTCAAAGTCTCACGGCTCTGACGAGTATTGTGTAGATCTCTTCTCCGTTGGGGGCTCTGAGCCAGCTGTGGAAATTCCACATTGCTATGGTATGGCTCAGTTTATCTACAAAGTGGGACTCATTTTATGAACCCTGTAGAAGTGATGGGAAGTGATAATAACATGGGGCTGACTAGCACAGTGGGCAGAGTACTCAATTCGCATCATCATAATAATATTTATCTGTGCCAATAAAGTGAGTTACAGCATCGGAGCAGTGGCCTACCCATGGATAATCAAACCGCCCCCCACCAGAGGAATGTGGAATTTCCAGAGCTGTCAACGGAGACGACGGCCAACCCACGCTCGCCGCAGCAAGGCGACACGTTAAGCTCTGACACGCAAGAGGAAACGAGCGCAAACTAAACGCTTTTTTGTTTGTACTTCACACCACAAAGACAAAGTTCCACCTTAACAGACTGTAGGGGCAAGTGCTGCTAGCGAGCAGAACCTATGAAGGCCGGCACGGTACACGAGGGGGTGGGAGGCCAACAGCACGCCCGGCCGCCTTTGTCTCCCCAGTGACGATGTTTACACACCTCACCAGGTACTCATTCGAGGCTGAGTTGACCTAGGGAAGGCCCTGGACCGGGTTCAGGTGATCATCACCGGCGTTGGCCGCGAGCGGGAATCGAACTCGGGTCAAACCCGGGTTCGTAGCGCGGCGCGCTAACCCGCTACTACGCTACCGTTCCCCAACTTCACGCCACGTGAACCCTGCTGACGCCGCTATCCCCCCCCCCCCCCCACAGTAAGAGCCCCCCGCAACAACACCTCGCACTGCCCCCCCCCGTCCCCCAGTTAAACTCTCCCTGCCCCGGCCGCCGCCGTTACGTTGTTCCCCCGTGTGGGCGACCCGCCGGAGCGCGCCGCCAAGACGGACGTGGGAGCTGCGACGACGCGGGCGGGGTGGGGGGCTGTCACGGAAGAGCGAGTGGCTAAGGGGGGACGCGGGCGGTAGGTTAAGGGGGCCGCGGAGTGGCCAGAGTGATCTACGGTCACCTCGCCGCCGCCGGGAGTCATACTCATCCCCCCCGCCCACCCGTCCTCCTATTGTCAAAGCCACACACACAAGGACTCTCTCTTCGTCTACGCGTCTTTTTTTTAAGGGGGCGAAGAGATGGGGGGGGGGGGGGTCGGGGGGGGTAGAAGGGGGGGGGGGGTGTGAGAGAGATCCACTCGTGGGTGGCTTCGAGCGTGGGAATGCCGGCCGGCCGATGCGGGACCAGGGGCCGTCGGCCCGAGTCAATGGCCTCTTCGTCCTCGGATGCTTCGCTCTTGGACGTGGAGTGAAACCCGCGGTCTCATTTGGGACCCGCGGGAAGGAAGGAAGGAAAGGTCGAGCGGGACCTCAGTCGATTAATTACTCGTCACCAGCGGAGGGATGATCGTTTGCGGGATGAAATTTGTGGGATTTATCATTTTTGTAAGGTTGTTTTTTTTTTCTTTTACAGAGAAACACAATTTGCGAGACGTCACTTTGTGGGAGGCACGGATGTTAGGGAAGGTCGACATTTTTTGTCTTGTGGAGGTCGACTGGCCCCTGCCATGGGAATGTGGAATTTCCATCATCAAGGTGTACACAACCCCATTGCTCATTAAGCAGAGAATTTGATTTTTTTGAAAGGTAGAAAAAAAACTTACATCAAATAATTTAACACTGATCTTTAATTTAACAATTATATTCAACAATTATATAGATTGGCCACTGCCTTAGGAATGTAGAATTTCCATCACCGAGGTGTACACTACCCCATTATTCATTCAGCAGACAATTCGATTTAAAAAAAAGATAGAAAAAAACTTGAATCAAATAATTTACCAAAGATATTTATGATGTGTGCATTGAAAACTGATATAGTTAGAACAAATATCAAGTCGTTATGAACTTGAATGATCTCCAAAGGTCAGAGGACAAAGGCTGTGGTCGACCTTTGACCTTGTGCGAGAATAAAACAAATGATGTCACGAAGCTTTACCTATCCAATTAATCACGTATGAAAACCGAGGATCGAGAGCGATTGATCACTTCAATGATCAGACAGGCCAGCTCAAGCACTGTTAGAGAAAGGTGTTTTGAAGACAAAGTCACAGAATTAACTCTGAAGTCACTGCAGTAACCCTTAATCCATATAAGTTGCAGAGTTCGTATATGGCATGTACACAGTGCTCAAAGACAAAGATGCCCCAGATAGCCTTCACAGACTGTTGGGGCAAGTGTTGTGAGTGGGCACCTATGAAGGTCGGGACGGCACACGAGGGGGCGGGTGGCCAGCACCACGCCCGGCAGACTTTGTCTCCCAAGCGGCGATGTTGACACAGCACACTCGGTACTCATTTGAGACTGAGCCGACGTACGGGAGGTCCAGGACCGGTTCAGTTAACCATCACTGTTGTTGGCCGTGAGCGGGAATCGAACTTGCATCGCAAGGTTTGCAGCGCGGCACGCGAACCGCTGACACGACCGCTCCCCAGTAGAACACAACCACAAGTCATTGGAGCCGGAATGAGGCCACAGAGAGATAACCCAAAATTGACCTGATCGTTTTCCATGCTGTCATCGGTAAATGTGCTGAGACCATCAAACTCATTACACTTTCGAATCCAGTTTAGCCATGGCTTGTGGTCCGTCCACATTTGAAACAAGGATCTCAGCAGTGCAGGCCATTATGATCTGTCCCCCCCCCCACCCACCACTAAAAGAATTACAGAGACTCGCAGCAAAACAAGGGGGGCTTGAACCCAGGATTTCAGCAGTGCTCAGACACAGCCATTGTGAGCCTGCCAAGTCATTCAGCCATACATTGCCGTGTCCTCGTCTTGTAAACCACCTCTTTCACAAACACCTTTGACCACCCACTTCCATAAACATGCCACGGAAGGCAATTTATAAGAGGCGCTTATGTGCGCGTTTAGCGTGGCATGTAATTTAAATGTTTGGCGACGGTTCAATTAGGGACGGCAGTAAATAAGATTTACTGTGTACGCTTGTTGCGGGCACGTAAATAGTGACGTGGTGCATGGCGTGATATTGCAGGCATTAAGTGTAGAAGGAGATTCATCCCATTTGTTCAATATACTGCTTGGGATTACCCAACAGAGATAAACACCGCCCGGTACTTCCATCAGCACGACAATACTTTGAGATGTTTTTTCGATCGATAAAAAAGGAGCCGTTATCAATTTATTTACAGCATTAAGTAAACGAACGTCCGGCTCGACGATTGGACACGTTTCACTTTTCCGTGTGAACTGTGCAGGAAGGTTTGGAAGATCAAGGTCACCACCAACCTGTGAATGCAGTGAGAGGCGAACCATTAGACGCATACAACACGTGTACTCTGGTGTAACAAGTAGACTGCTCCACTCAGCTACCCCAATACAACCACGTGTACTCTGGTGGAACAAGCGGACTACTCCATACAACTTACTCTGGGTGTAACAGTAGACTACTCCACTCAGCTACCCCAATACAACCACGTGCACTCTGGTGGAACAAGGAGACTACTCCGTTCAGCTACCCCAATACAACCACGTGGTGTTCTGGTAGAACAAGTGGAACCCATTCAGCTATCACCCCGAATGCTACTGTGGAATGGCTCACAACATTAAGATATTTTGTTTATTTTACCAGGTAAGGTCCACCGAGCTATTTAGCTCATTTTCAAAAGCAACCTGGTCACAAATGATGGCTTATCACATGTACATGCATAGCAGCCAAATATTCCCAGGGCATGTTTCTAAATGTGGAGGGGAATATCTGGCAACCCCGGAGAAAACTCCACCCAACAACGGGGAGAGAGACACGCAAACTCCAAATATACAAGCAATAGGGTTGAGATCGAACCCACGACCTCCTGCATACCAGGCGAGGGAGTTAACATCTCACCACCGCCGGCACCCTGTTAGCAATACAACGCTTGCCCCGTGGTTCCAAGTTTTGCCTGCCTGGTGTTTTCTTACAATGCTCTAGGGCAATGGACGTGACAGTCGTCCGTCTAATCCCCATAAACGCGGCTTTCAGAACTCCTCCTTTGTGAGCCCCCAGCCGCCCCCCTCCCGTAAACACCGCCTCCGAGGCACAGCGGTCTTAACATCTTTTTGGCAGTAAAACAAAAAAATACTCGGAGAAGGAGGAAAGGGGGCAGGGAAATCATATCTGTGTCTTAACCTCCAACCTTTGTAACTCCTCAAATACCGCCGTGGAATTTCAGGAGGTTTTTTTTCCTTTCAAAAACACAAATCTGTCATTCCTTGTTAAAGAAAAGGTCTCGATTATGTTGCTTCAGCCCCCCGCCCCTCTACCCCCCCACCCCGCCCCTCAATCCCCCACCCCGCCCCTCAATCCCCCGCCCCTCAACCCCCCTCCCCCTGCCTCGTCTCTCTGCCCCCCCCTCCCAACCGCCCCCTCCCACCCTCTATTCCCCCACCCCCATTGTCGGTATTAAGTTTCATTTGCCCGCAGATGCAAAGCAACTTTTGCCATCTCAAGTTATGGGGCTTGTAGGCTTTGTTTTGTTTTCAAGAAATATCTGGCGGCGGGAGGGGAGGCTGCGAAGGGGGGCGGATTACGTAATAATTATATATAAACAAATGTATAAACTGTGTCTGTTTTAACACCAAGAAAATAAAGGAGATACACTCTTATTATATATGAATGTGCTCGCCTACGGCAGGTGAATGTAAAGTGGGAGCCCCGCTAATTATTGTTTCACGAAGGGAGCTATCGTTTCTTTCGTCGTCACATTTCCCAAATTTGGACCACGGTACCAGCATGCGCCTCCTCCCCTTCGAATAATATTCATTTCAACTCATCACGTGCACTCTCGAAGAGCGAGCACTACTACTCAGAGGAGCGTGGAGGACCCACAGACAAGCTGGAAAGCAGGCCGAGCTGATCAGCCGGCGCCAACAATTGCCCAAGCTTTGCGGTCCTCAATATATGAAGGTGTTGTCAGACAATTGAGTGCCTTACGTGTGCAGGGAAACCGGAAGCACCCGGAGAAAATCCACGTGTGCGAGGGGGAAACGCTCTATCCCATGCAGACGAAAGAGGTGACGTCAACATTTTTGCTTTACCGCCTTCTCCTGGCGAACTCGGGTTATTCCACCTTGACGCCCACGGCAAGGGAGTTTCGCAGCAGTCCTGAGATCCACCAACCTTCGCCTTCACAATGCCCGATTACAAACGTGCACACCGCACCGGCGAACGTCACGGGATCCATAACGTTTCGCAAACGGTGCCTGCTTCAGTGCTTAGTTCACCCACCTGCTTGAACAAGGGATGGCTCGTACCGCAAACCTCTGCAAACCAGCGGCCAACGCTCCACCCCTGGGGCGATGTCACAGCAGCGGAGGTTGGAATGGGCCGCATCGAAACGGGAGAAATTACCGGCAGTAGGCAGGAGTTCCGGCTGAAACGGCAGCCCTGCCAACACGTGGCAGACTCTCCGTGTGATCTTGGGCAGGACGCTCCTCAGCAGCTTGAATTCGTCGATGTACAACGAGTGTTGCTCGCTGGGCTGTGACGATATTATGTCCAGCTCCTCCTTGTCAGCGTTCTTGATGCCTGGCGAGATATGGCGAGACAGACGCAACTTGCAGTCATTAGCGGTGGCAGCGGCGGCGACGCTAGCAGCGTCACCATCGTCAGCATCGATGTCTTTGAGATACCCCCAGTGGCCGTCTGGAATGCTCTTCCTTCCGATATCAGGAAGCCACTGGAGCCATGCGCTTTTAAATTATCTCGATTGAAAAAACTAATTTCTTTAGAACCGCTTTTTGTGTTTAGTTTGTTGTCCTTTCCCCCGCACCTCCGATTAGCACGGTTGCCTACGTGTGGTGCGAAAGAAGTTCAACATACACCGACAGTGTCCCTGTGTGGAACAAGGTGAATGCAGCAAAGTCCTGAGAAGCATGAATCTGCTGGCAGGGGGGTCGGGGGGGGAGGCAATATCACTACGTGGCATCCCTATGAAGTGAGATAATTTGCGATCAAATGTGCCAAATCTTGATTGTTACTCCGTGTCGCGCTGCTGATGCGTCACAGCGGTGTGGGAGTGTGGTGATGTCAGGTGGGAACCCACCAATGGCGTAGACCGTGACCCCGCGACTCTTGAGACGATTCGAGGGATTCTCAACGGAGTCTTGGGACTTCCCGTCCGTTATAACGATCACCACCTGCAACAGCGCATCGCCAATCACCGGTTATAACTGTCAACTATACGGTCACAAAACCTAAACGTTGATGAATTCAGAGTCACAGAGGTCCCACGCTATAGCGAGCCTTGAGCGATGTTCGTCTGTATGGGCAGTCTTGAGCCGGTGGACCATTATTAATATCTCTAGAAAGTCACATTAATCTCCTGGCTCATTAAATATACCAGATCATTCTAAGTGCCGATGACTTAATCAGGTAGGATCCCATATAAATGCATTGTCTCTTTTGTAACACAGCGGGTATCGTTATAACCATTGATCAGTACTGATCTTCACGAGTAACCCTGAGGCAGGAGTAGATATTCCACATTCCCATGGTGGGGAACAGTCTGTCCATAGGATGGCCAAAGTGTAACAGCATTCAATGGCTCATTCACCCGATGGGCACGTGTACACGTGGAGAGAGAGCCATTTTGTCAATCAGCTGCTGGATGAGGGCCTACTCCAATGCGGGGTCGTGGGAGCCAGGAGAACTAGGGGCCACGTGGAGCCTCGAGCGCAGCAAGGGGCACCTTTGGCACGTCGGCGCGCAACGTGGACGGAGCGAAGATCGTGTCGGCCACAAACTTGAGGCCCTCTCCCGTGCGGGTGTTGCCCCCCTTGTAGGGGAGGGCTCGCACGGCCGACTTGACCTCCTCCCAAGATGTTGTGAAGTCCATCAGCCTGAACTCCATCCTGGGAGCCACGCACGCAAACAATGGCCAGATGTTGACTTCCTCGCCTGGTATAGAGGAGGTTCGTGGGTTTGATGGCGACCCCGACACCTGCTGTATTTTTGAAGTTTGTGTGTTCTCTCTTCCCGTGGTGGCGTGGATTTTTTTTATATGCGGGTCGTCTCGTTTTCCCCTCCACATTTAGAACCGATGTGCGTTTAGAGTATTTGGCCGCTACACATTTCCATGCGATAAGCCACTTCGTTGAGCTGTCATGTGTGGCCAGCTCGCTTTCGAATAAGAGCTACATAGCTCAGTGGGCCTTACCTGGTCAAATAAAAAAGAGTGTATACACAGTTTAACTCACTCACTCACCAGGTGCAACCTCGAGAGAGTGCTTTAACGGAAACGTACATCAGCGACGCCTGACACTGCGAGTGCACGCTCCGATAGCGCAACAGGCGATGAATTCCTTTAAACAGTCGAGATCATGGCCCGCGCTCCCCCTAAACGCCTCCTCGCAGCCTTGCGCCTGACATGAGTGCGCTTCGTGCGCGGACAGCGAAGGATTAGGGGCTCAAGAATTAGCCGGAGTAGGAATGCGAGCGATATTGGTGGGTCCTGGAAATGGCCTGTTAAAACGGGGAGCGTCTGTCGTCAAAGCCGGGTGTGGTGCAGGCACACCTGCGATTCAGCGCTTTGGGGGCAAGGGTTGGTGGATGATGTAGATTTGTGAAACGGCTCAATGTACTGGGCCGCAAAGTGGCCAGGTCAATGGTATTCCATCGGCCGATTGGCTCTCCAGACCAAAACTGTCAAGCAAGCGAAGTCTGGACAGGTTTTAGAACTTCTGGGCCTCATCAGCAGATTACCGGATGTTATGAGCAAACACTTCCATTTAAACTACGGGACCCCAGTTCAGCGTGCACAGCAAGTACGAACACAAACTCATCATGCGCTGCCGCGGTGCATCATGGGTAAAAAGCAAACGATGGGCTTGCAGATAAAAATCGATTGGTTGATCGAGAACTCGGCAAACTTCCACGCGCGAGATCGCGGCAAACATTTTTCGGCGACGGCCGCGGCAAAGCGGCGGGGATGGAAAGGGGTTCCTCACCGCGGGTCATCACTGAACTGCGCCACCGCCACTCGTATGCCCGCCGTGCCCAGCGTTGACCCCGTGAAGGCGCCCACAATCCCCTCGATGAAGGCCTTCACCTCCTCGAAATTGGACCGCCCGATGCTCCAGGAGCCGTCGATGAGGAAGGCGACGTCAGCCACTTGCACGGAGCGGCACACTGCGGCAACGCAAAAGGGAAGGGGGGTCGGGGGGTGAGGGGGTAATGGGGGGGGGGGGGGTTCACCGAGGTTGAGAGGGTGGAGGGGAGGTAAGAAAAGGGGTACACTGTTTGAATGGGGAGAGAGAAAACAAGTCAACGAGATGTCTGGCTCGAACGAGCATTCATTCTGCGCTTATCTCCCGTTTACAGCCCTGACCCAGTGGTGGAAATTCCACATTATTATGGTGGGTGGCGAGTTTGAATGCATGTATGTATGTTCAACTTCTTTCGCACCGTACGTAGCCAACCGTGATAATCAGAGGTGCGAGTTCACCGATAGTACCGCCACTGTTGAAATTCTCCACAAAGTGGTAATCATGCTTTCGACCGCAGAAGGTTGACGATGGTGGAGATGGGCCAACCCCCCCATTCAGTATTTTAATTCACAACCTTCAAAATTGTGAGCCGCTCGCTCAACCGCTGAGCCACCCGGCCAGATTTGAAGGGCGTGAGACCGAGGGAGGAATTGTGAATGACGTGTTGTGGAAGTGTGGCAGAATGTTGCAAAAGAAGGACCAGCGGTGTTGACGTGACGTTTGACTTTTGTTCATTTTGTCACAAAGTTGACCGACTGTTTTAATGTTTTATTTGGCACCTCTTCTTAATGTTACGGACTGTGCTATCGGCGTCTCGTCAGGGAAGGGACGTGCATTTCCGAACGGAAATCTTGAGCCTCCCAGAAAGACCGGTTTTCCTAATATCGCACACGAGACATCAAGAGACGGCGGACTCGGATGGCTCCGTCGTGTTCTCAGAATGGACCAGGGGACCGTATACCAAAAACTGCCCCGAAGATGGACACCACCGGGCATAAGGAAACCTGGGAGACCCGAGACACCGCGAAGGGTGAGCTGGCGGCGGCGATCGACCTCTCTCGGGGCGAGGCTCGACAAGTTGCCGAGGACAGGAAGAAGTGGAGGGAACTCGCTTGCGGCCTTGCGTCCCACATGGGATGAAGAGGGATCAACTCGCCAGCTTTGCAGCAGCGCGGGTCACTTTACCTTCCTGAGCCGACACGCACGCCAGCAGCGAGAGTCCCACGCAGCACAGCACCCGAGCCCAGGGCAGTGCCATGGCCGCCGGTCCCCCCGAGCTCCGTAGCCCCGCGCCCTCCCGCCCAGGGCGGCGTCGTCCTCCCTCCTTCACGCGCCCGCCTCGTCCCCTTGTCCACCCACCACGCGCGTGACGCCGCCGCCAACGCCGCGGATGAAGGTCCCAGCGGGAGATGAACGCCCGACCTGAGCACGTACACACGAGCAGGGGAAGTGGCGGCACAGACGCATCATGGTTTAGGTTCGGCCACGAAACGATCTGTGTCGTAAAGACCCGCCATGGCACGACACAACAAAGAGACAGTTTAAATTGTCACGTGTACAAAACGTTTGACGTTGCAGGTTCACGCCTCTGGGTTGAAGGACCAATTCTCACGATCACATTTGAGCAGCGAGTAAGATGTGCGATGTTTAGTTTCAAACTGCGTCAAACTTCATCAGATGATCTGGTAAGTCAGAATCACAATATAGATCGGGAAATACTGGCTGCAAAAATCGATGTGCTTTATTGACTGTCGTCGCTGATGATACACTCATTGTGACATTAATACTCATTATTGGCGGAGAACATCTTCATATACAGAGAACTTCAGAGCTTTGGCACACTGCACTCTGAACCCAGGTGACCCGAATCCCATTCCCAGCCAGCCAGGGCGATCCTCAGTGGCGAACGATATCGGAACTGGTCCAGTGCACCTCACTTCACCAACCCATACTGACAAAAAGTGGGGAAGTATGGTCAGACAAATCTGATGACTGACATGGGAAGACCTTCATCGATCAGTTGATGGACAAGAGACTGCCAGTTATTATTTTATTATTTATGTTAAATTAATTTGTCCATGTCACAATCTACTCCTGTATATATACACCGTCCTATTTCCACAACGGTAGCAGGGTTCTTTTGATAAAATCACATTGTGCCATAAAGAGCATTGTACACACGTCTAGAAAAACAGGTTGAGTATTTCTATACGCGCGTATGAAACAATTCAACGCGCACATCGCGAGCCCTGCCAATTCGACGTCGGTCTGTGAACCGATGAATTTTTACATCGCCACACTGGTCCGGTTTAGTGCGGGGATCCGATGGGCACCAGTGTGTACAACAGTGGTCAGTGTATTGCAGTGAAGCAAATGTATCGCATGGCACGTGGGAGGAAATGGGCCACGGCTAATTGCACGTGCCGCTTTGACGCACACCCTCCAGCCTGGTCGCCGAGCAAAGTACGTTGCAAGGCGCCGAGGGAACAAGCACGCTGAGTAGTCACGCGTTGCCGTAAATTGGGTTACCAAAGGCTGAGAGAGGGTTCGGTTTACCACTACACCGCTGGAACGTGATTGCTGGGATTTTATCAATGTACCGCTTTCTTACTTGTTGCGATCAGTTTTCATTGATGAAACTCACGAAAGATTTCCAAACCCAGCGAAAATGATAACAAAAGCAATGTGTCAGCAGTTGGGTTCACGTGAGGACAGCAAAAAGCAATGCATACAGATCAGGTTACACAGCCTACAATGATAGCATAGGGCTGATATACACACAGATCATGATACATACACGGCCCTCATCTATATCCCTCTTGTGCAAAGCCAAATTTATTTCCTCGCTCAAATCAGCATTGAAGCGGCGCTCGTCCCACGTTTATAGCCCCGGGGCCAGTGGTGGAAATTCCCCGTTCCTCTGGTGGGGACGACTCCATCGCCTGTCAACTTTCCAACAAAGCGGCACCTAATGTACCCACGCCGGCACGTGAACTCCGCAACCTTTCCCGGTCGCGAGCCGCTCGCTCCACCGCTGATCCACATCTCGCCGATTGTGGCTGTGCAGCAAAGCACCCCGATACGCAAATCGGTTAACAGCGGCGTTCTTCACACGTGCACGGCGAGTGGGATTGTTGACACCCGCCGACATCCGTGACCCCATCACAGTCCCACATGACCACGTGATCGTCCAGCATCGGCGTTCCACGTCGCAAGGCCCCGCGGGGCCACTGGCGGCCTCCCCCACGGTGGCCTTTAGTGCGGCCCCTGACGTGCGGCCTCCCCCACCCCCCCCCCAAATGTAAAAACACCCCACCCACCCATCATCATCATCGTGATGCTGTCAACCGCCCCCCCCCCCCAAAGGTTTCAAATGTGTGGCTGCCCCTGACGCACTGATGATGTCTTATCGGCGAAAGTGCCGCCCGCATCTGAAAATTAGTGAAGGCCACCGGTCCACATGCAGAGTGGCCCGTGTGCATGGCACGACACGAGCACAAGCGCCGCATTCATGCCGAGTTAAGATCTCACTCTCTCTATGAACCAAGGCCCCCCCCCCCCCCCCCCCACGTGAGTTGCATTCCCGGCCACGGCTAACAAGAGTGGTGAGTGACACCCGAACTGGGACACTGCTAACAACCTAAACCCCCCCTCCTCCCCTGACCCCCCTCCCCCCACCTTCAACCAAACCCGCACCGGCCAGCTCGCTGAAGTATGACCACACAACTCCCATCACTCGGCTGAGCACGGTTGGCTACGTACGGTGCGAAAGAAGTTCAACGTACACACTCACGTGGCCTTCGTCCAGCAGTGGATTTTAAGCGTACGTTTACATTTTGCCTAACATACGCTACTCATTGATACAATACTCTCTGGCCTATGTGCTGTGGAGAATGGCATTGGGCAAAAGTTCGCATATGATATAGGTAGGGTTTGTCTTTTTTAGTTAAGGCCACATAGTGTTGTTGGTGAACGTGTTCGCTCGCCAAAATATCACGATCTTACCTTCCTTTCGCTCACGTAAAACCACCGTTTACGTTTTACCGCAAACACTCTTTAGACTCTAACCGAAATGGACAAACATTGTAATACAGGAACCCTGTTGAACCAGAGTGCTGAATCTCAATTAATCTTTCCTCGACACGTTACATGCCATCGCTATTAATCGTACTCAAACTCTTACAGATATAGCCTCGGGTGGCTCTCTGGCATCGCGATTGAATGGAAAAAAAAACTTAAACGGTTGGGAAATGAACTCGGCCCATCATCGCAAAAAAAACCCAAAGTACCGTTTAAGGAACAGTGCACTCTGATTCTTCTACAGATAGAGGGGGAGGGGGGGTGGGGACCCCACCATGAGAATGTAGAATTTCCAAGATTGTCTCCGCACCTCCGATTAGCACGGTTGGCTTACGTACGGCGCGAAAGAAGTTCAACATTGCACAGACACAAACACGCGCGCGCCGCGTGTCCGGTGGCGGTCAGCCACAAATCGCACGATGCGACTGTCGACCGGGAGAGACTTAGGCACGCGTTCCCGAGCCCTCGACTCGTCGCGCACGTCGCAGTACAGTGCGCCGGGCTGAACGGAGGCTTGACGTCGGTATGAGTTATGGCCGAGAGCTGGCCCCCTCTCTTTGCTTTGAACGCCTGGACAGGCAGTCTTGATGTGGCAGCAAGCCGCATTCTTGCGGCAATTGGGGAGGAGGAGGAGGGGGGGTTGGTGGTGCCACAGTTTGCACGCGTGCCGAAACGTGGAGGAGAAGGGGGGGAGCACGCGCGCGCGCACGCACATGCGTCTCTGCGCCCACGGCAATCCTACTTCTCCGGCGGGCAGCCACGATTTGTCTGCGCGGCGGCTAAGGCGCCGCGCGCAATGCAGAGCGGTAACAAATGTCCGGCGGGCATTTCGGGAATCCGTGCAGCACGTGGGGGCAGTCGCGCTGTGGGCGGAGCGGTCAGGGCAGCAAGTGGGTCCGCACACCGAGCTGTTAAGCCGGTGACCCGAGTAGGATTCTCCATAAATAAAGTGGCTTTTTTTGTTTGTTGAATGTATAAATGCGTCGTCAAACCCGCCAATCGCCCTGCAGAGCAAATGAGTAAGGTTTGTCACGTAAAAAAAACCTGCCAATTAGTGACTACTTCAGCACACCCGTTGTGTGTTGTTGAGCACACCCACAACATTTACAATTCGAATACGGGCGGCGTTTCGCTGGTGATTACAACCAGCCTCATCAGGCGATTAGCCAGGATTGTGAAGACATCCTCCCATTTCAGTCTTCAGTGGAGCAACGGTGATGTCATCACTCAGGTGCGAAGACCAGAGGGCTGGGTTAATGTCGCCACATCAATAACAATGAATAATATTAATCTGAAAAAAATATATATTATGGATTTATATTGGTCGCGAAATCCCATGTGTTAAACCGAGTTGGATTCCCAGCCACGGCTGACATCAGTGGCGATTGACACAGGAACCGGTCCTTGGTCCCGGCCACACTTCACCAACCTGCACTGACCATTGCGGTGACGTACGGCGGAGCGGTGGTTCGCGCGCCGAACCGTCAATCCCCGCAACACGAGTTCGACTCCAGGCCATGGCGAATGTCTGCGGCGAGTGATATCGGCACCGGTCCTGCATCTCGCCCGCCTTGCCGCCAACTCACACTGATCAGCATGGTGAAGTGTGGTCAAACAATCCCCCCATGACCGACACAGTTAAGAGGAGGCTTTCATCCAGCAGTGGATTGACGAAAGGCTGCGAATCCGCCGTCATTCACGCTTAACCCGGCGTTGGCAGCTATGCCCGCCTGTAACCCAACACGGATGCTGTGCAACTCGATCTTACACCCTGGCTTGCTTAGGAGAATGCCGGAACAGCAAAGTGCGAACTAATGTCGCCTGTCCCTTCTCTAAAGTGTTGCCTACTCACACGCGTGGATTTTTTCTGGGTGCTCCGATTTCCTCCCACACGTTTAAACTCATACATTTGCTGAAAATATCTTAATACTGGTAGAAAACACCTGGTTTCACCAGCCAACAGGGGATTATTGTGTCCGTCCATCCGTCGTGCATCCAAAAATGGGAGGGGTGGGGCTGGGTGGGGAGGGGAGGGTGGGGAGGGGCTGGGTGGGGAGGGTGGGGCTGGGTGGGGGGTGGGAGGGGTGGGGCTGGGTGGGGAGGGGCTGGTCACCCCGTGGTGCCCTTGTAAAACTCAACGTTTAACCTACTTACGCCGTCTTGTGTCCACCCTCAGAATCAGGAATATTTGCGGAATACACCACGCCGCCGTTGACCCTGGCCATTGACCGAGCAACCCGACGTTCCTACCAGCTCCCTCCGCAGGAGGAATGTGTTAGATAGGTCTGTAAGCACGGGCAATGTATGATGCCGGTTCACCATCTGGCTGCCTACCAGCTTGTCTGTGGTTCCTCTACGATAGTAAGATGCATTTTGCACGAACAACTTCATATTAAACTAAACCAGTAATATTACTATTATTACCCGCGAGCAATCAGGATTTTTCCACCAAGAATTCACACACACACCCTTGTCCACTGAGCATTCCCACGTTATCCGCTGGCCCATTGTCTCATCCACGGAGCATTCATCCCCGTATACTTGTGAGCCTGACCTTCTGAGCACTCAAGAGCACAAGAAGGTACACTTTTTTTGTTGGTAACCTATCCACACGAGCGTGGGGCAAATGCTAATCGCCATATGTGACCTTGACCTGGGAGTGGAAATTCCACATTCCTCTGGCAAGATCCAGTTCATCCGTTGCTTAACCACTGTTGATCTGTTACAAACAAAGCGGTAGTCATTTTACTGAACCCGGTGAATTGATGATGAGTCGAGTCAACCTTATTCGGGATCTGAACCCGCAACTCCCAGATTGGCCCGTCGAGCACTCTAACACGACAGTGCCACCTGGAACTAGAGTAGGGTGTATGTGCATGGCAACACGTGTGAAAAAGAGCTTCGTAGCTTATCAAGTTGCTTAACAGCTCATCGGATTCCTGCAGTATAAATCAAGAGTCTCATCCCGAACAAACGCGACTCGTCGAGGGGCTTATCTTGTTTCTAGTGGTCCTGGTGCCACGCTACACGGGAGGACGACTCACTCGGTTTTCGCCGACCATGGGATGGTGCATTTTTAAGTGCTGAGCACGAGACGAGTTGTCCCTGCCGATGAAATCAGTGCGTCCCTCCATCGAATGAATCCGCTGTTCTCCACGTTCCTAAACACGGTATCAATAATTGACAGCCCCTCTGGCATTCTACCGCTGGACGAAAGACTTTTACATCGTGCCAGTGTCGATCATGGGTCGTCATATGATGACCCATGTGTGTGAAAATTCTAACTTAACAATCTTTTAAATACGTAATCAACCGGGCTATGCGTTAATTGTGTGTTGACCGACTCTCTGTGTTGCATTACATTACATTTCGATATTTTACTAGGTTATTTAATTTTAGTGTGTCTTTCTCCTGATTTTCAAGCTTGCGTGCCGTGCCGCGTCGTCATCTTACTTGCAGCATCACGTTGCCGTCCACTCATTAATATGCTAATTTTTCCTCTGCCCCCTCCCTCTCTCCGCCCCCGCCCCCCTCTCTATATTTAAGGCCCCGTCACAGAAACGACCTCTCTCTTTGTGCCGATATGCGTTCTCTCTCTGTGTGTCCTTGTGATGTCTGTCTGCTTGTATGTCTGTCTATAGTTTTCTAGTTAGATTTTTGTTGCTATTTCTTTTATGCCTGATGATGATTGCTTGTGTTGCAATCGAAACGTCGTAATATGCTATTATTTAATTTATTATTTTATCTTTAGACGTGACTTAACCGAAAGAATCAAAGAATAATTCCTGCAGTCACGAAAGCTCCAAAATTAAGATTAACATGTCAGTATGGGGGCGATGTTGCCTCCCCCCCCCCTTAATAAATATTGCTTAGAGTGATTAGCGTGGATGGCTACGTACGTAGTGCAACAAGTTGAACAAACATTCGTATATTTTATTTTGACAAAAATAAGAATTAAAAAGGGTAATGTGCTGCACATTGCATAATCAGGGGCATTAGAACATTCCTCCATTACATAACCGAATCATTGACATGTGCGCCGCTAACGTTGCAGCATTAGACTAAGTGGCGTGTTTGACGCTGTGGTGAATTGGCAGAAAGGAGAGCGAGCCGGCGATCGTTCCGAGAGGAATCAAAGAAGACCAGATGAGGAGGAAGAGGAGGAAGGGGGGTGGCGTGGGGGAACAAAACGCAAAACCTTGGATCGGAAATGAATAACACTCGGAGCAAAGTGGCGAATTGAAAGGGCAGCGAAACTTACGGTGGTCAATCGGGGGAATGTCAGTGAGCAGACCGGAGACAGATATTGAGTCCAGGCGTCTTGTGAGCTGTTATCCACATACACACACAGAAGCAGAGAGACACGTGCACACACGGGCTGATTATGGACATGCAGTGCTCATGCAAAAAGACTAAGATTCCTCGGTGTAGCCATAACACGCTGTTGGGGTCAAGTGCTGTGAGCACGTGGGCAACCTATGAAGGTCAGGCACAGCCAACACCACGCCCGGCCGCTTTGTCTCCCCAGTGGCAATGTTTACATACCGCACCAGGTACTCATTGGAGGCTGAGGCGACCTAGGGGAGGGCCCAGGACCGGTTTAGATAATCTCTACGACCGTTGTTGGCCATGAGCGGGAATCGAACCCGGGTCGCCAGGTTTGTAGTGCAGCGCTCTAACCGCTATACTACCGCTCCTATGTGCACAGTCAGGCATGCGCATGCGAATATACCTGGTGAGTAAGAATTATGTACGAATACTCTGCTCAAATCACCAATATTCTTACAATCTGCATTTTTCTTTGAATCAAATATTTATTAATATTAACACACCGTGCCTTGATGATGATGATTATTGGCCAAATCTCCACAATTAAATTATAATATTCCATGTGTGAATACATGGTCAATAGTACGCATAATTGTACAGTGGTAATGATAATAATTCTAAATATGCTTCATTAACTCTGGAAAGCGTGAATCTCAAGATTAATTTTAAGGAGGGTTCTGCGTTGGGATATTTGGCCAATTATTGTTCAGCGTGATGTTGCAGAGCAACCCCACCTTGCATATAATTAAATAACACGATACATGTATGCAAATATGATTTCAACCTATTTGCTGTACTGCTGTCGAGTGACCGTAACATACTCCCAGCTGATCGAGAGTTTCACAACAGCCATCTCTGCTTGCTTGAATCACCAACCATGACCTCCGGAGATGCATCGTACACAATCATCACGAGCGGTCGTTGTGGAAAATATAAGAACTAAAACAAAATAGTAATCCAAAAACACGGCCAATTTTACAAGCATAACAACCACAATGCATACAAGTCAACGGTTATTTCAATGTGGATGGTATGAACCCTGCCATAGCAATGTGGAATTTCTACGACCGATTCACGGCTGCCTGCAGAGATGAGCATTACTGCACCATACGAACTTTGTTCATCGTGCTTAGCACCACCGTCGTGATTAGCACCACGATTATCATTAACACCAGCACGTTAGTTTACAGCATTCATTAAAAGACAAGCCAGGTTGTGATTGTGGCCATGCAACCCAAGCTATGAGACCGCGTAGTAAACCGCTGTTCGTCTGCACTCCTTCAACTAAGGAGGATGATGAGTAGCAGCACACCTACTCAACTATCGCTCCTGAAGCCCTATTGTGCCTATCAGCCGTCAACATTGGCATTCAGCAACTGAACCTCTTGCCATCATACGCAAGGAGAGTCTATGAGAGCATTAAAGCGTCACGCAGCCACAACATCTCATCGTCACATCTGTCACCGTCGCTGACCAGCAAATAACAACCGGACCGAGAAGCGAGAGAGAGAGAGAGAAAGTTAGACATTGCGTTCAACAAACCTGCAATTCATTCGCGAGTCGAAGAAGTGAGTTTATCCGTACACTTTCGCCTCTAGCAACGAGAGGCAGGTGTGTCAGCTAAGGAATGAGACGCGCGCACGCGTGTGTGTGTGTGTGTGTTCGCGCGTGTGTGCGTGTAACTGGGTCTATGGGCGACTTGTGTGTGTGAGGTTTGTCCAAGTGACAACGGGGGCAGCAGAGCAAATGGTGGTGGGTGGCTAACTCCACCCACCCCCACACATCCACCCAAAGCCTGAAAAGTGGCCAAAAAAATAAAGAATTAAAGAAAATAAATGGTGGGATGGGCGGGAGAAGAAAGAAATTAAATAAAGAAATGTTTTAAAGAGTCTTGGGAGGTTTTTTTACATGAATGGGTTCACTGGTGGCAATGTGACAACCACAGCTTTTATAAATGTTCTCTAAAGAGAAACCACTGTAGCTGAACCTTGGGATTTTTTTCGTTACGTGAAATTAATTATTTAGTTCCTGTCAGCGTAAGTTTACATTCGTATGAGGATTATTGTAGTGAATTGAACCAAATAATTGGAATTTCCTCCAGTCACTTTTTGTTTACAACAAGATAAAGGTTCAGGACTTCTGTAATTGTTTGCGTATGACGCTCCAGGCAGAAAGCCCGCTCTCGTAGTCCATGAGCTAGAGGGGAAACCGATTACCTGATTTCAAACGATTGGCAAATCAGTGAATGGTATCGGCCACGTGGAGAAATTGGAACCGCCACTAAATATATGCCACCTTAGATGGTAAGCGAAACATCTGGTCTGGGTTCATGGACTAAATTGGAAGCTTAAGAAAGCCCCTCTAGATCAGGACCCTCTGTTGTTGTTGGCCTACTCTTCCACACCGGCCAGACGTTTTGGATGAGTTGGGATTACCAACACTTTAAACCCAAGTACCGTGGCCTGCCGCTCGACTGTGGCGTTACCCCCTGAAGGTTCTGTTCGTCAGGAATTAATTGTTTCCACTGCCGCGTTGGAGGATGAAAGCAGCCACCGCTGGGTTGCAAGTCCAGTGTGTTAACCATCACACCGCAGCAGAATGTTCTCATCATTTCCAGGTATATATACCGTATACACAAGTTTCTATGTGTGCTGGTGGTGGAAGTATAATAATCATCATCATCATCCATGATCAATCCACTGCTGGATGAAGGCCTTCCTAAACCATGCCCATCTCTCACAGTCTTACAACATGCGATTTTTGTTTCATTATTATCATCATCACAAAATGCTCTCGTCTCATTAATTCACGCAAAATAACATTGTGGTGCAATGACCTATGGGATCTGCGGAGCAATCTTTTCCACCAGTGCACGTTAAAGCAGGTAAATTCTGGACCAGCTTTGGATTTTGTCGAGTGTGTTCACGAGCAATCTGTGCGGACTTGTGAGCATCACCCCCCTCCCCACCCCCTCCACATGTGACCGATACGCCTTGGTTCCCTCCTTAGATTCTAATTGCCACTTCTGTGTAACGAAACAAAAATGTAAGCAAATAAGGAATGATACGAGTTCTGCTATCCTATAAAGCCGCATTACAACCCAGATGATTGCTAATTATGATTCTTACCTGCATAGCCTTTAACTAATATCCCCAGCCGCCCGTGCTGTTGATTCCCTTGCCCCTGTTCAAGTGCAGGCTATATCTGTCTTGAAAAACCACAGCGCCTTCGTGATTCACAGCCCTGCGCTACGAGAATGGCACGAATATCATTATGAACTAAATGATTATTGAGACCTTCCTTACGTCCCCCCCCCCCCCTCTGCCTACGACTGACTGCCTTTTTCTAAAAGATATGTCCACGGTTCCTGATGAGCCGCATATAGACACTACATAAGCCAACCTTTGCTGGAAAAGAAAGATTAAAATATCTCACAAACTCGGGATGATCTCTTTGTGATCCAATAACCCCACATTTAAAGCATGGTATTAGATGCCAGCGACATCATGCCCAGCGCATTACCACACGTTTTGAATGAGCGTTGTTCAGTTTGGTTGCAGCCAAAGTAAAAAAAAATGCATTACATTGACAAATTCCCTGGGACATAACGGACGCGTGCCAGGCAGCTTCAGTAAATTTGCAATGCTGGGAAGTAACAGGTTACAAGTGTAGCGTGACCCAGTTGCAGCGCCACTTGCTGCTCATTACAGAGGTGCACGGTCGGTATCTGGCAGGCCATCCTAGTTAATAATGAGAGCGTAATAACCATAACATTAATCTGTCCGCTTCTCAGTCGACGTGATTCGAAGAAGACTAGGCCAATATAAGTGCAAGCGTCATGTCTCAACGTGTTCCGCATTAAAACAAATGCCTTGCTAATTATTTAAATGGGAAATGCATAGCAATCGTCGCCACCCCCCACCGTGTAAACGTTGCAGGACCCTCCTTATGAAGAGTCTTGAGACTCATTGAGCTTATCATGGGTAAATAAGTTCCAATACTATCGACACGGCAAATGTCCTGGTTTGGTCAGGATGGTCCCTGGTTTCAGAGAAGCTGTCCCAGTGTGCTGAATATGGTTAACAGCTGCCATGGTTTTTCCAGGATCATCTGCTTTTCACGGGATTGTCCTTCAATGTCTGTAAGTTTTCCTGGGATATAAACAAAGTCCTGTGTTTTCTAAGTTGCGTAACAATACACCAATGAAGCCAATGCGTGTCCAGGTAGCTCTTCCCTCTGCTTGTGTCGTGAGACATTCTTATTTACAAATGTCCTGAATTTGCGAATATTAAGATTTGTCCCAGGTTCAAATTATTTTAGTTTTCAAGTCCAGCTCATTGTTTGGGCAAAGGGCGGGGCTACCAGAGTAGTGGGCGTGGCAATAGGGGTGGTGAGCAGAGCTCCCTGAGCAGTGGGCCGGGCTACGCAGGCAGTAGGCGGGGCTACGTGGGCAGTAGGCGGGGCTACGTGGGCAGTAGGCGGGGCTACGTGGGCAGTAGGCGGGGCTACGTGCGCAGTAGGCGGGGCTACGTGGGCAGTAGGCAGGGCTACGTGGGGCAGTAGGCGGGGCTACGTGGGCAGTAGGCGGGGCTACGTGGGCAGTAGGCGGGGCTACGCAGGCAGTAGGCGGGGCTACGTGGGCAGTAGGCGGGGCTACGTGGGGCAGTAGGCGGGGCTACGTGGGCAGTAGGCGGGGCTCCAGGTGAAAGTAATCCATAACTGCAACAGCTGACTGAGTGGCATTACTTAGCATGTGCAGTGTGATTAATTCCTATTATTAATTTCTTACCTGTTGCTTTTTTTATCGCAATAGTAATTTAAAATGGAGGTGGTGGGGAGTGTCAGCAGCTTGGGTTAAAGTAAGGACATCGGCAGCCAATGCACACGGAATCAGAAGATTTATTAATCCTGGAGGAATCCGATGCGCTATAAAGCTCTTTTTCACAGATCTCCAGTAGGGGTGGGTCATAACGTTAGCACAACAAACAATACAGTAACACGATAGGAGCGCAAAGTATGACAAGGTAAACAAATCACTTTAAAATATTGATTTTAATAAAACTAAACAGCGTTTATCTTACCAGGTAAAGCTCACTGAGCTGTTCGCTTCTTTTTCAGAAGCGACCTGGCCACAAAATGATAGCTCAACGAAGTGGCTTATCATATGGAAACGCGTGGCCGCAAACTCATAGACATAATCTAAACGCATGTTTTAAGATAGGGATACAAAGCCTTGCAGAGGCACGGTGCTGTCGGTTTTTTAGGTTAACTCAACCTGAATGTTACATTTACTGAATAAAGAAATCCCACATTTTAATTAAATTCACTGCCCTCTGTCGATACCGTACACTGTTGGATGAAGGCCTGCCTGTTGCTGGGTCGGTGTTTTAGTTGCGGCGTCGTTTGCCATACTTGACCGCACTAGCTGCTGGTCAGTGCGGGTTGGTTCAGTGTGAACGTTTCGTCAGAGAGAACGTCAATCTGATCAACTGCTTTGGAAATTCTACCGTCCCGACAATGGTTGCATTTCCCGCAGTGCCGGATTATGCTAGTGCGGGGCCTGTAGCATATGTTATAGAGGGGCCCTAAATTATAAAATAAAAACACGTACATATTAAAGCACACATTTCAACTTGCATAGTAAAGTTATTTTATTTTTTTCATTTGCTTTACAGCCAGATAAGTCGAAAAATCAATAACCTTAAACACCTAGTCGTTCATAAAGTTGAAGGCGGTATAGTACTATAGTAATAGAGCAAGTGCAGAATCACTGAACCTGAACTGATAGCTTGAAAGCATTTAGTGCGGGGCCCTTGAAAATGCAGCTATTTTTGCTACTAGGATAATCCGGCACTGATTACCAGTGTGCGTGTGATATTGTGTAAACGACGAGATGGAGATAATATTTGCAGGTCTCCACCACACGAATGATTAACTATGGATTTTTTTTATGATTAGAGTGGAGCAAGGCAGGAATGTCGCCTGTAAAGATACGTGTGTGTGTGTGTGTAGCAGTGCAGTTGAGCGACATTCACCACAGCGAGCGGGTGGCTCAAATAGCAAGTTGGCACAGAAGGGGATGCATCTGGTGCATCTGCGAGTCATCGCAGTCAGTCAACCCATGCCACCTGGGTCTGTCCCGTGACCTCTTGCCAGTGGGCGTTCGACACTGCACGTGGCCTCAAAGTGCACATAGCCTGGCACAAGCGCTGTGGTGACGCCACCGCCACGCGCTACACTCCCCGTGACCCTGGCCAGATTCCAGGTCACTACGAACATTGGTGGCAAATCGGGTTCCTAAACCTCTCCTGAGCTTCCCCAAGTTAGGCTCAGTCTGAAATGGTACCTCGTGTGGTGTGCAAACATCATCCGGGAGAATACAACGGAAACTGGACGTGGTGCTGGCCATACCACCTCTACCTGGTGTATGCCACGCGTGAGCCTTAGTAGCTGCTCGCGAGCGAGATGTGTTTACGTGTTCTAAGTCCACAGTGAATGCCGTGTCTGTCAAACAAAGCTTTAGCTCGTATGTACGAAATAGCCAACAATGTGAGCATTGTATGAAGTGAAGTAACACGATTCGTCTTTAAGGTTGAATATAGACATTGGGCAAATGTTTTGTTAGCAGCAGCTGAGGTTGAAACGGTGCACAAGTGGTGTGGCTACAACCACACATGCCTGGCAGCTCAGTCTCTTCACTATGCAG